CCCCAAAAAAACCGGGAAGGGCCAAGCCGGGTTTTTCCCGGGCCCGGGTTTCCAAACCCCAAGGGGGAAACCCCCGGAGACTTTTGGGCGGGCCCCAAAAGGGGGGGGTTCCACCATTTCAAGGGTTTTGGGCATTAGGGATTTTTCACAGGAGCAAGGGCCCACAGTTAGTTGAGGATTAATTTTTTTTTGGGGGGTTTTCGCTCCCACAAAGATTAAAACGCGAGGTAAATTCCACCGGGGGGGTGACCCCTTTTAACAAAAAGGGGGGCCCTGACTCCCCTCAGGGGGGGGATCACGTTTTCCCCCCCCCCCACACATTACATTCGTAGCCCCCCGTAGACGCACCCCCAAAAAAAAAAAGAGGGGAAAAAAAAAAAAAGGGATCCCGGGGTGGCCAGCCCCGGGAGGTAATTGGAATTTTTTTAAAAGCTGGGGCCCAGGGACGAAAACCCCATTCCGGAGGCCAACCCCGGGGGGGGGGGGGGGGGGGGGCGAGCGCATGCCTTAGCCCGTGCTCGGAACTCTGTTCAGAGGTGTAAAGTAATGTCTTCACCAATCTGGGAGCATAGAAGTACGTCTTTGCGGCATTATCCGCGTAGCAACACAGTAGGCTCCCGGTTCACAAGAGGCTTACAATACCCGTTCCGGAAAATTCTCAGAACGGGGACGTGCTATTCAAGAGTTTTCAGCCGTGGTGGTACAAGTGGTCGTGACACGATCAACAAAAAACAAAGAAAAGGGAGCTAGCAAAAAGGTGAAAACAAGCACGATACACTTCTGCGTGCGGGGACCGAGGACAATCACTCGCTTCAATGGGGGGGGTGTTTCGGGTCCATCCCCGCCGGTGGGCATAATCCCCGCAGGGAGTAAGTACTATGCGGTGAGATGGGATGCGTTGGATGTTGTACAGTCAGTCAACACCTGCAGACAAAATAGGAAAAGCCTTAGATCCCCAGGTGCCTGAGCGGAAGCAGTCGACGACTCGTTCGAGGCCACCCTTCTGGATGCAAAACGCCGACGATTCCGATCCTTAGCCAGATGGTGCAACGCAATACATGACGAGGTTGACATCCATACGACAAGAGGTACAACTGCCGCAACGCGGACTCGAGCCATACTCAAGGGACCTACGGACATAACATTCAATTTCTTGTCAATGGCATACCTCAAGAAGAAAAGAAAAAAAAACGGCGGGGTATACGAAACTGGGGCCGTATACAGCTGCTGTAGATTGCTCTAGAATGCATGTAGTGAACCGCGACACGATCATTATCCCTGGCGCGCCATCTGGGATCGGAGCCAAGCACAGCTAATGCACATACGAAGGGCAACACACAACGTATGCCGTGGAACCGAGCAATTACGCACAACCACAACGCGCAAAAGCAAGGCGTAGACTATGCGCTTCGGTAAGAAGGACTCACCTCCTCTGTCTTGAGCAACTTGCGGTCGCGATCTCTCTGGTAGATGACTAGCTTTCGAGGCTCGGGTTGACGCTTCTTTGCCCCCGCGCGAAACCCTCTGCCGCCTCCCGCGAACCCCCGCTCCGGCCCCCCGACCACCGTCGCGTACAGACCGCGCGACCCTCTCCCCCCCGCCCCCCGGAATTCGTCACCACCGGCGCCTGCTGGCAGCGGTGAGACGAGGCCTCCCGTGCCCTCATCCCCGTCATCAACCCCTTTCTTCCCCTCCTCCTCTTGTCGCTCCTCCTCCTCCTCCTCCTCCTTCCTTAGCCAAGCGATGGGGCAGAAGCTATCCAACGCTCGCAAGAGCTCCCGCGGGTCTTCTTCCTCCGGAAACCACTTGTCTCTCTTCTGTCCCCAGTCCCCAACGGTGTCCACGAACTTCACGCACTCCCGCGCCCCCCCTCCCCTCCCCTCAATAGCAACGTCTTCGGCACCTCCCCCATCCCATCGCCGGACCGGCGACAACGGTGCCGATACGGCTAGCCGGTCGGGTAACGGTTGCTCGGTAGACACAACGAACTGACTCATGTACCCGATTTCGTCCAAATGCAAGACCCCAGTCTGTCCAGGTCGAGGGCTATCGCCGATCTCGCTACTACTACTACTACCGCCACGCAACGCCTTAGCCCCCGCCCCCGCTCCCCCGCCGCCGCTCTTGCTGCTAGAGGGAGCAGCGTAGGAAAACGACGCGTGGTTGCCGTCCACAAAGTGAACGTCGCGCACGCCTACGCTCGACAGCCCGGCGGCGACCAGCAGCCTAGTCATCGGCGATAGTCTGGAGTTCCAGGATGTGTCCGAGTCCTGCCGATGCCCAAAACAGAGCAACAGGAAGACATGATTGTACTTGTATCATCGGAAGCTGGTAGCGTAGCCTTTCAATTTCATTACAATCGTCCAAAGGGTCTCTCCGTGATCATCGCACGACGAGTGTCGCTTGGAGCCAAAAGGCGAAGCACGTGTATATTTGTATTTGGTATGTATTACAAGGTTCCCCCGGGAGTTAGGTGAAATGCCTCCCGGGGGCGACGCTAGAGGACATGGCCAATCAATGCCATCGCGGTCGCAAGGTCGGCCGTCATAACGTTCGGTAGTGTCAGTTTGCGTGCAACCTGCATACTAATTTGCCTGGAATGTGATCACGTGCGGGGTATTTTCTCCCGCCGTGACTTTTCGCCTTGTGCACGAGTGTGTGCCTTTAGGCTAGCGGCGCCTTTGCTGCAGGTAGGTCCTACTGCTGTTATCCGCTGCGGTTGATCGCTTACTCTTCGTGTGTGATCGTGGTTCCCATGTTCTGTGGGACGTTCACGCAAACACCAACAACGGATCAAAGGAACGCTTAACGTGCCCAAGAACAGTCGCAGATGTAGACTGCTAAACAGGACCACAACTTCTATATTTGAATTTTTCGATTTTTTCGGAATTGAAATCGAAGTGACCGCTGCCAGACTTGTGCAATAGGACTTCTGTGTCGCGTGGTGTGTTCCCATGAGCAACATCAAGTGTCTTGGTCCCCGCTGCGGTACACATGCGCCAGTTGCTGTGTGGTGGGTGTGTACACAACAATCACAGCAGCTGCGTGGGCGCGTGGGCGCGTGGCGCGTGGCGCGGAGCAAAAAACAAACCTGCTTTCAGTTTTCATCCCAACAGAGGAGGCTTTCATGGTTCGGATTCCTAACCCCTGAAAAAAGAGCCAATCTCAGCGACTTTAGGCCGCCCTAACGCGCACCACCGGTGTCTCGCGAGCCCCACGCGTAACGGGGAATGTACCGACGGCTCCTCTGCGTGCCATGCAGAAGAAAGTGCGAGAAAAAACGCTGTCCCACCGGAGAAAATTGAAGGTGACCACCCCAAAAGCCGAAATGCTACATATCATGTCACGTGTATGTTTGTGTCATACACTCTGTGGTGGTACTCCGTGCGAAACTGTCCCCCCACGCAAGGCATATTATAATGGCGCAAAACCACCATTACTTTCGCAGAAGCATGCACCAGAACGCGGATACGAAGTACGCCGTATAGGTATCTCGGGGCTGAGAGGGTACTGCTGCAACAACAGAATGGCGGCACTGTTGTGTGTCGATATTTCACGTGCAGTGCGCGCAGCGTGGCTCCTGTACCCCCCTCTCTGTTCTAAGTGGTGCATCTTTACGGTATCAAGATGCGGGTGTCAACTTGCGCAGCCCCCTTCCGTCCAAAGTCCAAAGCTCTTCTCTTACTGTACACACACCTTCACGTACACATCCGTCCCGGACATGCCGGCAAAATGCTCCTTGAACTCCGACCTCCGCCCGATGAAGCACTCCGCCACGTGAAACCAATGGCTCGCTGATTCGATTCGCATTATTCCGGAGGAGGCAGCACATTGGGTATGACAGAAGAAAAATAGGGTTACGGCGGGCAGCGTCTTGTCTTGAGAATATTGTCCGCTTGAGCGCGTGCTTGGGACGATTCGATGCATCACAAAAGCGTGGAGTGTTAAAATGGTGGTACTGTGCTAGGGCAAGCGAAATCACTTCCGTCGCCGCGGCAGGGTACAATATCTAAGGGGGCCCACTGGACGGTACTAGGTGGTGCATCTGAAAAACGCAGATTGTAGAAATAGGAAATAGCCCGTATTGATCGACACCTTCTTTTACAGGGTGGGCAGCACATACACAGTAGAGGCAACTTATGGGGGGCCGCTGGACGGTACATATTGCCCGTATTGATCGACCCTCTTTACAGGTTCGGCAGCACACAAACAGTAGAGGCTTCAGACATGCATCAGACGTTAGCCCACATCTTTGCTAGGCAAGCACCAAGCAAACATCTACAGCAGTCGCCAATGTCGTACAGGCGTACCTCACTGACTGCTGTATTCTTGTGCAAACATCAATACAAAGGATGGCACGTGACATGATGGTACCGAGCGCCGAAGCTACAGCAGTATCTACTCAGGGAGAACGAGGCTTTTCACTTTTCAAGGACAGATCGATGGGAGGAGGTATTGCATGGAAGGAATCATTAATGGTCGTCCCCTTTGCGTGACAACGCTTGGCAACATGAGACGCTCTCCGCTTTGTCTTCTTCGTCTACAGCAAATGGGTACTGCTGTAAGTGCATACACAGACGAGAGGAGAGCACGTGGATTATGACCAGCAGGCACCCACCTTGCCACGCCTCGAAACCTCGCTCAATGAGTCAGCGACGCCGATTCGTGTAAAGCAGAGAGAGCTTGCTGCCAACGTTGACGGCTGAACCTAATGAATCACTCTATTTGTAGTGCTGGTAGCTGGCAGCGATCACTTCACGCGATGAAAAAGGTGCTCCCGCCAACAAGTGGCTAATTCCACCGCACTGGAAAAACCAGGAAAAATAATGGACTTGTTTGTTATAAGTCCGTAATCGCATCATTGGACCGTCATTCGCAGTCCGACTATAGCATAGACAACTCCAAAGAGGGCCACATGAGACCCATTCGCTTCGCTTGTATCAACGTCATGCCTGTTCTGACCTGCTTCATGATTCGGTTGCGTACGCATCCTTGGAACTACAAAGCAACTAGAAGTACTTGTACTGCTGTTCTGCGCGTTTTTGCACAACGCTTGTTCTCGGAAGCGGCGCGGTGGTCGAAACCGACAACTATTTGAGGACATTTTAACCCTTACACGTGACTACAGGCCGATTCAGCTCCGTTCTCAGCTCCGATCACTTTGGGTGCCGAAATATCGCCGTTGTGCCTCGGCTAAGAGCAAAAAAACTACATAGAGACCAGCAGGGAGACACAGGCAGCCCACCCCAAAAGCATGCTTATCAGCAAGGCGCACAGGACTCACATACCGTATATGACACAAGATAACACACCTACATAAGAAAGCACACCCCCCACAGAATACGACACCCCGGTGATGGTTTTGGGCGCTTCTGACAAACCATCGATTTATCACCGGGGGTACATAAGATAACACACCCCGGTGATATTTTTAGTTACGCCGCATATAGTCACGGGCCCCCTCCTTCTTTATCACCGGGGTGCAGCATCTGCCCTGGGCAATCACACACACAACCACGTCAGCTGTGTGTGTGGAAATACCCCGCATGGAGATCCCCAACAACATGAACGTGCAGGCAGAGCAGAATGTAGCCGCAAGTACCAAGTAAACGTTTTTGTGAGGGGGGCAGGAAGGATGGCGCACGCAGTCTGTGGCCACCGCCAATCATCGTATCGGTCGAGGTACCTTCGATTTAAATTTTTTTCTTGCTCGATTCAAGCCCGTATTTTGTTTCAAACTTTTTTTGGCGATGAGAGGGTTGAGTTATCGCCGAGGTCATGCGCTCAGGAGTTTCGTCACCTCGGTTGAGCCCCTTTGTTTTTCCACGCCCCTTTAGGTAGGTCCCTACACTGCACGTGTACGTGCAGGCATGGCTATCACACCCCCTTTTATCGCACCCCCTCATTTATCACACCCCAAAGCACACGCTGTGGCTGTTGGGACGTGCTACAGTATCACACCCCCTTTCATCACACCCCCAAACACACGCTGTGGGTGTTCGGACGCGCTATCATACCCCCTTAGGGGCCCCTGCGAGCTGCATTTTATCACCCGGGGTACACAAGATAACACCCCCCCCCCCACAGGATACCACACCCACCCGGTGATAATATTTTCAATCCAAAATGTTATCACCGGGGTGTGTTTTCTTGTGTCATATACGGTAGTACAACACTATTCACCCATGCCTCATCTCTCTGACGTGGGGCAGATATCCTTTCCAGATCCAATCTACTGCCTATACCGGTATTGCTGTAGTCAAAGATTCAAACGCACAATACCACCGGAGAGGGTACATACAGCACCCTGAACATGTGATCAACCCGGTGCCGCATCCGCGGGGGAGAGCAGAGAAAGCGCACACCGGAGCCGATGCTAACGTACTGCCTAGGTGCTTGATGTTGTTGTGGTTGCAGTGCGTGTGGTTCCCAGTACTGGGGGTGAAGGGTGGTTCGTCTGCTGTGTGCAAAATTTCGCTCAAAGGCAAGGGTTTTCGGGACTACAGCGCCGATCACAGCTCCGATCACAGCTCTCTACTCGTACAGAATTATAAAATTTATCACGATTTTTATGCATTTTGTGCGATAGTGGATGATGGTCTCGATTCTCTGATGAGCGGGCCATTTTTTTCGTCGATCTGGCGCTTCTGTGAGGCGGTTTCCCGTCATCGTCTTCGCATCTAGCGCCGCTAGCATATACATGCGCTTGCCCTATGCTCTGTCCAAGGATGAGGTGGAGAACATGTGCCAACAGGCATTGCTTGCACAGGTACATCCTCTGTGCGGACGGTTGCTGTCGGAGACAGGCATGCACACCTGCTCAACTACTGCTGCTGCTGTAGTCTATTTCTCTCCGCATAATAACTGCTACTGCTGTACAGCAGTAGTACTACTGTACTCCTGTTCGTCACTCTTACATATACCGCGTCCCCATCCCTGTGAGCCCCACACATGGACCCACTGCTACACCGTCTTTGCCGCCGTGACTTATGGGTGTACACGAATGCTTGGAAGATCTTTGACCGCAGAGAGCCAGCTGTGGGGAAAAAACACAACAATATCCAAATTAACCCAGTCACGTAAGGGTTAACGACCTGCTTCATGATTCGGTTGCGTACGCATCCTTGGAACTACAAAGCAACTAGAAGTCTTGTACTGCTGTTCTGCGCGCTTTTGCACAACGCTTTTTCTCGGAAGCGGCGCGGTGGTCGAAACCGACAACTATTTGAGAACATTTTAAAATATCCAGTCGACGACTCTGTCTGATCGCCGAGGGCGGCCACGCCTACCCCGAGCGGCTCCACCCCCTCACCGTCTGCGTGCTGCTTCGAATGATGCAAGTTAAACATCAGAGGACCGTTTGGTTCCCGATCGCACTGGTTGCGGTCTTCGTCGTCAAGCTGAGGGTCGTCGGTCTCCGGACTTGCGGTCCATGGTTGTACTCCGAACGGGCCCATGTCGATCATCATCGCCGCTCGCCATCCCCGAAGCGAGAAAGCTCCTGCCAACAAAAGGAGGAACACGGCGCCGGAACTTCGAGTCCTTCTCCTCTCTAGAAACGGCGGCCATCGGCGCGAGCGCCAGTCGCAGTCCTGTTGCTGTTGTTGGTGCTGATGCTGCTGCTGCTGCTGCTGCTGCTGCTGCTGCGGGCTATCCACGTGCGGCGTCGAGTCGGAGGGTTGTCCTCGCTTCGTCGAGCCGTTCTTCGCCGGGGAGTTCATCATATCCCCGTTGTCTCGCAGCGCCGCTGAGATTTCCCCGGCTGCTCGTGGTGCGGGCACACCGCGGTGTTTCGAGACACCACCCATCGCCCCGCCGGTATCTCGGCACAATGTTCTCACCTGTCACGGCGTCGCTCGCCCAGAACACGACGGTTCGGGGAGCACGCACACGATATCTATCTTCGAGACGGGTGGGGGGGGAAGAGTTGGTTCAGGAGGTTCTTGGACATGTGCGGAGCCTCTCCCGGCGTGTGTGCGGCGGTGAGATGCCTCACCATACCATACTGGCCTAGGCCGTGGTAAAAGAGCCCGCGATACCGTCATGTGGCTTGCCCAGCCACGACTCGCGCTCATAAGACGCCGGTGGGCCAGCTCTTCTCGCTTGCTGCTGGGCAATGAACTTGTGGTAGCACCAAAAAACCAACACAACCACCAGCACCAGTTGCAGTCGAAAATCGTTTCGCAGCTCCGGGCATTATCGTCAGCAACAGCAGCATCTACCTGCGGCGGTAGCAGAATACATTGCTCGCGCACACTAGGTGCAGTGTCGAGTCCCGCAGCAGGGTCAGGGCCGTCCCGATTGGCCACAGCTCGAGGTCGGCGACGTCGAAGCAGCGCGCCCGGAGGGGAGGCAACAGCAGAAGCAGCACCGCAGCACCGAGGCGAACAGCAGAACCCGCCAGCAGCGGCGTTGAATCAGGATGGCGGCGCTCTCCTGAGACGAGTGGCGAGGTATATCGAAGAGGATCCCGGCGCGGCCGACAAGCTCGGGAAGGCAGTGAGCAATAATTCGTTGTTGATGTCTTGTGTGCAGAGTGAAGTATGAGCTGTTCCAACCTTGGTTTCATGCAGTGGTAGGCGCAACTCAGGAAACGGAAAAGAATATTCGAACAAGGGTGGGAATACAATGGAATACTGCTGTAGACGCTCCTACAATACAGAACGCGCCACCGCTTAAGAACTTAGCAGTTAAGAACTTGAGCCTCAAACAATCCAAAATCTAAGAACTTGGCCACAAGAACATATGCTCAGTTCCGACGTTGTATTATGAACAAGAACCCGCCCGGTGTACCAATGCGCATAGAGATAAGAACGGAGCCCCAAAACGCGGCGGCTGCAAGATAAGAACTCAGGAGGCTGGGGGTGACCCAAACAGCAGTTAGTTTCTGATTCGAGGCGGGGGGGGGGGGGGGAGAGAGGACCTCGTGATGAATTCTTGTACGCGCGGAGGGGGAGAGCGTACTCTCTCTCATGTTCGCATGCCTTAGCGGTAGGACAATTGACCAACGTCTTCGAGAGGACGCATCCATGTTCCAACAGGATCACTGATGCCAATCGTTCCTTCCCACTTCGAAGTACTTTGTCAAACGTGGCCAAACCATGTTCTCCCTAGCCGATCTACCCTATATCGATATCACTTCCCGCCTTTTCAACCCACTTCCTATGCCCCAGTACAGCTACCACCGTTTTCTCCTGGCTATTCCATGCCTCAAACACCTCCCTGTACCTTTTCTTCTACATGTCCAACTCAGTCATGTACATTTCTCTGTCCTTGTCGCCCAACACGGACGTTTCGCAACGACATGAACCCGGTCTTCGTCTCGGAGTCGCATTCACATTGAACTCGTCTTCATCGTCTACCTTCCTGAATCTTCGTCAATGTTCTCGAAGGCCGTTTTCCCCACTCCAAAATTTGACCTTGGGCTTTCTCCCTGCATCCATTGGTCCATGTAGTAGGTATATACCTTCTTTCAACATCTGTACACATGGAGACCCCCCTTATCCTTGGATCCTTTTGTTATATGGTGTTCTCTCTCGGCGAAAGCAGCAGATTTCTTGTTCTCGAACCCCTCTAGATCTACCGTTCGTTTCCAATGTACCAACCTAATCGATTTTGAACTCTTCCTACGCCGTCTACAACCTTAATCCACTCCCTCCGGGTTGGTACCTCCATTTTTCTTGTTTGTCCACTTCGCCTCCTAGGCTTCTCTCGGCAATCTCTCCTCTCCCACATCGTACAACATACGGCCTACCTGCCATTTTAACCTACTTACGCCTCTTCCCGATCGTAGGAGCTGGATCCGAAGGGGGGTGTACTCTCTCTCATGTTTTGGCAGCCTTACTTAGCGGCTAGACCGTTGACCACGCGTCCTCGACAGGACGGAGCATTGTTCCCACAGGTTCGATCACCGATGGCCAATCGTTCCTTCCTACGTTGCCAAAAAGGTCGGTCAAACATGTTTTCCCATCGGTATCACTTTCCGCCTTATTTTCAACCCATTTCCTATGCCCCAGTACAGCTACCGTCTTCTCCTGGCTATTTACATTCGTCAATTGTCTTTCTTTCTGTGCTTTTTCCTTCTACTTTTTTTCCCAGCTAGCTCAGTCATGTACGTTTCCCTCTCCTTCTTGTACCACGGACATTCCGCAAGTACATGAAGATGGTCTTCGCCCTCGGAGCCGCAATCACACCTGGGTTTGTCGTCTTCATCGTCTACCTTCCTCAATCTTCGTCTACGTTCTCAAAGGCCAACATCCCCAGTCCTAGGTTTGACCTTCAGCTTTGACTATGCATCCATTGGCCCTCCATGTAGGTAAAATATATCCCTTCTTTGATATTCCGTACACATCGAGACCCTCCGTGTCCTTGGTTTCTTTGGTTTGATCCTGTCCTTCTCTCTCGCCAAAGCAACAACAGATTTCTTCTCCTTGAACCCCTCTAGACCTCTCCTCTCCAGTGTATCACCTTTGTCAAGTTGGACCCCCTTCCATGCGTCATCATTAACTCACTCCGTAGGTTGGTACACCAATTCTTCTTGTTTGTCCACTTCGCCTCCTAAGCCTTTCTCGGCAACCTCTCCTCTCCCATACCGTACATGCGGCACTGCCACCTAGGGGGCGATTTTACGGCTACATTGTACTCTTACAGCAGTAGTGTCTCGTGATGAAATCCAGGCAGAAAGACCTGTCTGTGTCCTCTGCATACGGCAATCGGTATAGAAATAAGAACAAGAACCTCGTTTACCATAGGTGGATACCTGCTCCAAATAAGAACTTGGAAAATAAGAACATGTGCTCGGTTGGAGGTAACCAATAAGCGTCGAGCCTCAAGCTAAATAAGCGGTTCTTAAGTGGTGGCGCGTTCTGTACCCGGGCGGGAAACTAAATTTTTACGTGTACAAGTATTTTGGCGGCTTACGCCGCCACGCCCAATTGAGCGAGTCCCAAGGTACATAGGGGCGGTCGTGTGTGGATCGTGGAAGGTTAACTCGACGTTATGTGTCGTAGATGCCCGGATGGTGCGCATGTCTATAGCGTGATAACATGTAGACGATGGCATGTAAACATAGGGGTGAAGTGCAAGTGTATTGTTGCAGAATCCAATGGCCACGCGCAGACACACGCTAATCCTAGATTGCGACACGCCGACGACACTCTGGCACGCAGACAAACTCGCCTCGCAAAAGGCAATCGACACGACAGTCCTATATGGCGACACGCAGCCTATAGTCTCGACCACCAATAAGCGACAACGACCGCACCCAATGATACGCGTACGACTAAGGAAGGGACGAACTCCCACGCGTCCGACGCAACAAAGGTCATTCACACAGCAGGCGTGTACCTACGGTAGCACGCAGGATACATGCACTTCGTTCATGGTGCCGATTACGCGAAGGCGACACGCTTAGGTCCAAAGGAACGATAAACTCCCACGCGTCCTAAGCAACAAAGGACAGCAGGCGTGTAACAACGCACGCTAGTGCGCAATTTGCAACTCCGACAAAACGATGGCTAGCTCGTAGCTCACGCGCAGAGGAAGCTGCAATCGTGAGAAAGCAATACCATTGCTGCCGACTTAAGTCTTGAAGCGAATGCGTGGGATGAGAACGAGCGTTGAGAGACCGTCTAGTAGTTCTACATGCACAATTCGTGTTTGAGTATCCACGAACGATAGCCTTCTGACCATTGACCAAGCCCTGCTTGAAGTTTATAGGTGTCGTGTGATCATGACAATGCAGTTCAGTGTCAAATCCAATGCATGCATGAGGCGGTACACCAGAGGCGTCAGTAGCGTGGAGGTCAGCTGCGGCAACGAAACCCAAACCGTCGTCAGTCGCGTCAGGATCGACGGTGTCACAATTGTATGCTGTGAGAAGGTCTCCTGGAAGGATGTCAAGGACGTGTGCGTTAATGGTGTCTATGGTAGCGTTGGTTGACGAAAGGATGGCTCTAGCCTTGAACTCAGTCGGGTCGGCGTCGAGAATGTCCGGATACACGAAATTGATCAATTCTTCAAAAGAGTCTGTGTTGTCAAGGACGAATCGGTCAGAGGCTATGTTTGGCATGCTATGAACGTATGCCAATAGCACGGCATCGACGCCGTCGTCTGTTGTAACATGCGGTTGGGTACCAACACCGATATTTCGGACGAACGCCGCGTACGCTGCGTCCTCTCGATCGCGCTGCGATATAGTAAGACGCATACGTTGTACATGTTTCCAAAGCGGACTAGAAATGATGGACGCATTAATTGTTTCCGCGGGCCCGCCTTGTTTGACGACAGGCCCTATCTGGCGTAGATCACCGCTTAGCAAGATATTCTTTTCCTCCCATGATCATGTTATTGCCCATAAGATCTTAGAGTGTAAGATTAAGAGCTTCGACAGAAAAACGATGCGCTCATTGGGATTTCGTCCCAAACAATAAGGTCACACTTACGTAATACTTCTGCTCGTTACGACTCAGCGGAGATATTGCACGTTGCACCGCTGACATTCTTTTCATCCAGTGGTAGTTTGAACATGGAGTGCGCAGTCCACCCACCAGGTAGTTGGAGACCTGCGATGCCCGTACTGGCAACACAAAGGGCTAATTTACTGAGTGATCGTAGGTGGGCGCATAGTACGCTCTCCGTGTGTGTCTTACCCGTCCCAGCAGGCGCGTCTATCATGAATACGTTAGACGATCCTGATGACACGCTGTTAACCACGCTATCGTAAACATGGCGTTGCTCGACGGTGAAGTTTGGGAGATGCTCGGCAACAAACATGCGCATTTGCTCCGGATTGAATATGTGCTTGCAACGCAAGTATTCTGTGTCTCGATGGATTACGGCAGGCAGTCCAACGACAACGTTCGTTCGTCCATGGTGCTGTAACCCGAGATCGATTTCGCGAAGGGCGGCGTTATCGGCATCCAGATCGGTCATGGACATGCGCCAATCTGATGTAAAGCCCTTATTGAAATGCTCCCAAAGAAGGTTGGCAGGGGCTCCGTCAAGAATGAGCGTAAAAAATAGCTGGCGCAACTGTCTACCCAGCAAGCGCCACGCAGCTTCAGCAGCTGAAATGTATCGCGCTGAACGGCAGGCCTCTATTTCATCGCCGTCGCACAGGATCTTAGCCTTGATAAAGTCCGCGCCCTTGTTAATGTATTTGGAAATGTATTGAACTACTGCCGCTGCTGTACAGACGTCAAAACACATGTGGCAGTTGTTTTGGAAAGCAGCCAAATGTTGTACGGAGCGATCCACTGGTTTGTGGCGAAAGACTCCAGGAAATTGCCATTACCTTTGTGCGCGAACACCCTAAGAAGATCCGGACACCACCTAACGAACCTCATGCACCGCTCGTTGACCGAACCCCGATGGATCCCGAAAAAAGATATCATGCAGTCGCACACGTGCAAATAGGTATGTGCGACACACGTGTAAATAGGTATTATAGGTATTATTGGGTGTGACAGAGAGAGATAGAGAGAGACAGAAAAAGAAAAGAGATACAAAACAAAGGAGAGAGTGAGAAGGCAGGGAAAGACACACAGACACACAAAGAGACACAGACACAGACAAAGAAGGAAACGGAAAAAAAAATAGAAAAAGTTGTACCGCCCATTCCGACTCTGATTCCGAGAGAGGAGAGAGCGAAAAAGCGCCGAAGAGAGAGAGAGACTGAGAGACTGAGAGTGTCCCTCACGACGGGAAGGACGGCGAGACAGCGAGGCCGGAAGAGAAAAAAGAAGGCAGAGACCAATGGAATGGTATTGGAGAAGACCGTAGAGCTCATCGGACCGAAGGAACTGCCCTCCGAGCGACAAAATTGCGAAAACTGCAAAATGCGAAATGCTGGCCTGTGAGCGCTCGAACGGTCGGGACTTCACGCTGAAAGCAAGTGATTAAGCGTGGTGGCCTGAGAGCGCTCGAGAGAACGATCCCTGGCCCACAGAAAATGCTGCGATTCTAGGAAAAAGATAAACGAAATAAAGATTCCGGAAAAAGATATTCATATAAGAAAAGATAAAGATATGTTATTCATATGAGAAAAGAGGCGCACACAAGTGCAAAATATGTGTGACACACGTGTAAAAATTATAGGTATTATTGTGTGTGTGACAGAGGGAGATAGAGAGAGACAGAAAGAGAGAGACAGGAAACAAATGAGAGAGGGAGAAGGCAGAGAAAGACACACAGACAGACACAGAGACGGAGAGAGAATCACAGATACAGAGAGAGAAACGGGGAAAAAATAAATATACCTGGTACCATAATGATAAAGTTGTACCGCCCATTCGGACTCTGGTTCCGATTCTAATTCCGAGAGAGGAGAGAGAGAAAAAGCGCCGAAGAGAGAGAGAGAGAGCGCGTCTCTCACGACTCGACGGACGGCGAGACAGCGAGACCGGTAGAGAAAAAAGAAGGCAGAGACGAACGGAATGGCATTGGAGAGGACGATAGAGCACATCGGACCGAAGGAACTGCGCTCCGAGCGTCAAAATTGCGAAAACTGCAAAATGCGAAATGCTGGCCTGTCAGCGCTCGAACGGTCCGGACTGCACTCTGAAACCAAGTGAATAAGCGTGGTGGCCTGAGAGCGCTCGAGAGAGCGTTTCCCGACCCGGAGAAAATGCTGCGATTCTAGGAAAAAGATAAATGAAATAACTGTTACAGCAGTACATATATGGGGGTGTTTGAAATTTATTGTTTTTGGGTTTGGGGAGTACACACATGTATACATATACAGGTGGCACATGCCGTCTTCACGTCTGTACCAACGGCAACCGTTGCCGGGTTTGAGGTTTAGAAGCGGTAAGTGCACGCGGTTCGTTCGGCAACCCTGTATCCCATGCAAGGGGCAACACCAGGACCGGTGCTGCTACTACAGATGTTTGTTTCTGTATGTACATGACTCGCATTTTAAAGATACTCACCACATGTATGCCGTCGAACGAACGGTTACGACGATGCGCGTTGCCACCAACACCTGATACGACTCCTGAGAAATCCAAGGCACTTCCGTTGTCGCCACCTAGACCACGGAGATAACCGCCAAGCCTAGACGGGTTGCTCATCCAGGTACCAATAACTGGTATTGTGTCGGATATGTACGAGGCGTACGATTGATTGATTCTGCTGCCTTTCTCCACGGCGGGGGCAAATCAAACACCAAACAGCCGACAGCCGACACGAGGAGGCAAGGTCGTCTCGAACCCTGCATTCACGTTCGTCAAGATCGCCACGTGCCGTTTTGATTCCCGGTGGCCGAAAGTAGAAGAGCCGTGCAGCATCCGCATCCGCACTCCACCTGCATGCCCCCCCCCCTCCCATTCGTTCTGTGACTGCGATGCCTCCTTCAAGATGGACCAGGGGAGCGGCCGCAGATTAAAGGATGCCCTAGACGGAATGGAGTATGCCGTGCGAGAGCCTAGCTTGAGGCAGCTGCGCAGGGTGGCATTCATCAGCGCGGTGCCCTTTGTGGGCTTCGGGATCATGGACAACGCCATCATGATCGTGGTGAGTTGATTTGACGTCCATTGTCTTTGAGTCTTGAAATGAAGAGCGCTACAGAATACACCATCCTCCCTGTACAACCCGGATGCTAACATCGCAACCAATGCATTTGTGCACCATGTTTTAGGGTTGATGTTTAGGTTCTCCTAAACTAAGGGGCGTTGCCTCACAGTTGTCTACCCCCAGTAGGCCTGTTTCAGCTGTATGCCGTCTTCCCTGCATGTGACAGTGCAGACAGGTGCACGCAGTGTCTGCAGGCACACCACCTATTGAGGAGAGAAGAGCAGCGGCGGAGTCTCGAACGGCAGCTCTTATCTTTCGACCCCGCTCTGCCGCGTGTGCAGCCAATCAATGCGGTTGAACAGTTTTTGGTTCAGTAACTGGAAGAGGGCTTGAGGAGAACACGGAATATGTGGGACGGTTTCTCGAGCTCGGGAGAGTTCGGTGACTAAAGCATTACGGTCGCAAAGAGCAAGGAAACAAGCCCCGCTGCCCCCCCCCCCCCGCCCCCCTTACCATATTTTTTCGCAGGCTGGTGAGTACATTGACATGACGGTGGGAATCGCCATGGGCATATCCACCATGGCCGCGGCCGCTCTTGGCAACACCATCAGCGATGTCGCTGGCGTGGGGTTGGGGGGTGTCATCGAGAACTTGGCCACGAGGCTTGGACTACCCCCGTCTAAGCTGTCCAGGTGTGCGAGGGATCTGTGCGTTGGTATCACGGTGCCATCATGAAGTACAGCGTAGGAATGAGAGGGGAAGCGCTTAGAGTTGGTATCACGGTGTAGAGTTTTGCGAAGAGGGGTACCATCGACTCTTGGCGGGAGCGCTCCTCACAAGGGTGTCTGTCGTACTACATGCGGAGGGGGCCGAAAACGATCGACCACGACAGGGGGAGCGGCGTTGTTTCACGGCATTTTTTATATATCCACAGCTCTTGCAACTGCCCTGCACTTCCCGATTGTGGTCAGGGGTTGTCCTAGAATAGTCGTCACAAATACCCTTGCTCCTCAACGTTCGAGAGGTGGAAGATACATGACGCATCCACCGTTTCTGGGATTCATGGAAGGAAAAACGGTGTGGGGACGAAACCACTTTGACCGCCATACCTGGCTTGCTTCTCTCGCCTTCCCATAGGGTGGTGCAAATTCTGAGGAAGCTTTCCCTTCAGTGATGCGCTGTACATGTATGTGCGTGGAGCCAGCCATACGCTTGCAACGAGAGATGACGAGCTCCACTTTTTGGCCCCCAATTCAGAAGAAAGAGCAAAAGATGGCCTTGTCCGTTCGCCTTGTTTTTGCAGTCGATAGAGGGCAATCTCGAAGCCCTGCCCATAGACTGATAGCCCAAGGAGAAATCTCTGTACGCTCCTTTCTCGACGGAGGCTGCGGGGTGAAACCTCCCCTCTGCTGCGCTCTCGCTTGCCTTGGCTCTGACTTGGAACTATGCCGACGTTTTCCGCAGGGCGCAGATGCTGCTGCAAACGACCCGCACAGCTGGGCTGGTCGGGTCTGCCGTTGGGGTCCTGGTGGGCTGTCTCATCGGCATGTTCCCGCTGTTCTTCATGCCTGATCCCGAGGTGATGGAAGCGGTCAAGAGAAAAGAAAAGGTGAGGAGGTTCCTTCGCAGGCGGGAGGTTTCGATAAACTGATCTTTCAACGATGAGCAAGACCGCACCGCGTTGTCGCCGCCTCTCGATGTTGCCATCCACTTGGTGCGTGTCGTGTTATTGTTCTTGCGGGCACGCGTCTTGGGCCATCGGTTAGTGTTATTTTTTACAACGCCGCACCAACAAGGCACGCAGGTTATTTTCCGTCTGCGTTCCTTCTGAGGTGTGCTTGCCCTCTACCAGTCTTAGCTTCAATAGTTGTAGCCCAGTCTTTCGTTTTGCTCTTGTGCAGCGTTTACCAGGTTCGTATTTTTTGGTAAGTTTGGGTGCGGCCTTGTCTCTCGGTGGGTCGCTCGAAGCTTGTTTCTTCTTGTTTTGCGATGCCGGGCTTCGGTGGGCGATATTCAACGTTGTAGCTCGCCTCCCTCGGGAGTGACCCAACAATGGTGCCAAGGAACCCTGTCAACCAAACGTAGACACTGGTCTTGTTGTTTTTGTCAACTTCAGAATGACTGTTCCGCGCACGGTGGTGTTGATGGTCGCATTCCACGTTGCCCGCTGGTGTGGTTTTTTACCGCTGCTGCTTTGAGGCGGGTAGTAATAATTAACCATTCTTGCCCGCTTGTTTTCGGCTACTATAGGACCCCCCCCCCCCCCCGATCTCAACGCCACTTAAAATTGCTTGAGCTATCGAGAGCCGAAGCTGCAACCGTCTTGTAGCTTTAATAGCGTTGGATACCCGGTAGCCATAATTTAGCGCAACATCCCAAACGGAGAGAAGTAGGAGATCTTGAATACCAGAGTGGTGCCGCCGCCCTCCCTTCGTTGCTCGTGTTGTGACGCCTCTGCCCGCGACTGTGACGGTAGATTGTAGGGCTTGTCGACGCTGTGGTGGAAGAGGCGGCCGCTTTCCTCTCGGCGACTAGCGCTACCCTCTTCATCTTGGACAGGGAACACGAGATGTTGTGGGCCAGGAGAAGAGGGGCGCCGGGGACTCCTAATGCGGGAGCCCTGCAGGTGAGAGCGGAGCGAAAAGCACACGAGGAGCTCGTGTCCAATGTGCCGAGATAATCAGTTTTGGCCGTTTGATTGGAAGAATGTGCCGTCCTGCCGGTTGGGTTTGTGTTTGCGTATTCTAGATGCTGTTGCGGGTTTGTGAGTGGAGAGGCGGTTGCCAGCTGTACAAGGAGCAGCACTTCGGAACGTGTCGAACTATTGTGAGTGTGTGCCGAACAGCTGTAGTCACTCGCACTCGTGAGTGATTACGAGTCCGGCATCGAGGAGGTCAGGTTGCTCACTGCTATACCACGACTCCTTTGGAGAAACCCGTCCCAACCGTTGCAGACAACGCGCGGTTGCATCTTCGCACCCGTGCACGCACCTGACCGCCCACCGCCTCCATTCTTATCATCGGGTCTACATGTCGCACGATATGGATATTTTTCGTCCTTGACCTCCTGCTTTTCTGGTCTGATATTGTACATGTCACCCAGGACCTCAAGATCGAGCTTGCACACCGCGGGGCGGTGTCCGACGCCGCGCGCAACGGGGAGCCCGTGATCATGCCGGCCGGGGCGGGGGGCGCGGCACCTTCGATGCTGTGCATGCCCGTCTACGGTGCGGACGGGCTTGTCGCCGGAGTCGTCCAGGTTGTGGGAAAGAGATCGAACGGAAAGGCTCTCGACAGCGGGTGAGAGGGGGGGGGTTCCGTTGCATCCGGCCGCCACGGCGTGATCAAGCTGGAGCTTGAGTGGGTGTCGAGTCTGGCCATGTCCCATCGCTCCCGTCAACGTTTTCGCAGGGGCCGTTCCTCTCTCAGCACCGTGCTTTTTTTTTTGCAGCGTTATGGAAGGGGAGCCGGCTTGATATCGGAGCCACCCTGGTCGTGGGAAAGACCGATTTGGCGGAGGAAGGGGTTACAGGGGGCCTTCGAGCAAAGGGGGGTTTAAGCAAAAAGTGTATGTGACGTCCAACACCTTCAACTGCTACTCTTGACGTCAAAGTTTGAGTGAAAAAATCGGGCGAGCAAAGGGGTCGCTTCGTAGGGTACCCAAGAAATACACACTGCGATACTTTCTCATGTTTGAGCGATGGCTTTGGTTCAAGCACGCCTGTGCGCACACCGCCTCTAACGTATGCATACCTGCCTCCGGTTTGTGGTTGATCGATCTTTTTGGGAACCCCCCGGTTTTCGTGACGAATTTCCTTCTCGAAGCGTCCGCGCTGCTGGCGTGGTGTTTGTGGTTACTGGTCGTCGTTGTGTGATCATCTCGACTGCTTGGAGTCACCTGCTCAGCGTCACGGCTGCGGGTGCTAGAAGCCCTGGTGCCTGTTTTCACATCTCTCACCCTCTGTGTATATCGTGTGTATAGCCTTAGTCGGATGTGTTTTTTTTACGTTGCCCGTTTTTTTTCTCTGTCGTGGCGGCGTCAAGTTCGTCCTGTTTCATTCATCTGTTGTTTTTTAGCTTGATAACTGAAGCTGCGAAGGAAGTATGAAACAAAGCCTTGCCTGCTGTCCGCGCTCCGCCTTTTCCTTGGTTTTAGTTATCGCCTGTTCTGGATTCAACGGATCACTTGTGCTGCTGCCCGTTCTTGACACTCTTGCCACAAACTCACGCCATGCCTGGTGTTGTCGTGTGTCTGCCGTGTGACTTGACTCCCAGTTTCACCGCTGACGATGCGAAGGATCTGTCGGCTCTCTGCTCGCACATCAGCGTAGCCCTGGAAAACATCAAGCGCGCTGACGAAGCCGATGAGGTAAAAAAAAAATATGCCATACCGGATAAAGCACGGTGGAATACACAGAGTGGTGTCTACGGGTGGTTGTCCTAGTATGGCGCCACCGTGTCCGTGCTGTGTCACCAGCTCGCGGTGGAGAGCACCGGCGGGCATTTGTACTGGATGCAGTTGGTGCCGTGCCGAAAAGGGCTCATGAGATGGGCGGCCACACTAGCAGTTGTCACACGGTTGTGTTTTTTTTTGTTCGTGAGTTTTTTTATGTATTGACTGTTTATTATAGGGATGGCAGGTGTATCCCGTAGGCGCTCGGATTCGTTGTTCGGTTCCCCGGAGTGCGTGGCATCCCGTTGCTCCGAAGCGTCTAGCCTGGCACGACATCGCTTTGCGCACACCCATCATACTACAGTCTCGACGCTTGTGTTTGTAGTAGACGCTGATAGCGAGCGTGTGGGGCTCTGTTTCCCCCTACGGGAGTATCTCGTCGTTTTCAAAATGTCGATTAGGTAGTGTTTGTTTGCCATGAAGCACCTGGGCTGCTTTAACTCCTGAGCGTTGCAGCACCGCAAAAAACTTGGCCTCGTGGAGACTTGTTTTTTGCACCCATGTTTAAGATCATTATTATTATTCCGTCGCATTTCTTCACTCCCACGCAATGAAGGGCTCAAGGCTGGTGGTTTCCCTCGCTTGAGTCGTTTTTCCTACCTCAATCGTGCTAAAGATTCAATGTGTGGCTCTTTAACTTGGTTTCGTTTTTTCCCACGGTGCGTCCATCATGCGTGCGGTTTCACTGCCGCTGTCCCAGGTGGATCTTCGCGAGACGATCTCGCTCATGCAGTCGTACGGAGGGGTGAAGCAGCACCCCTTTCCCCAGCATCGATCGAACAGCGCGCGAATCGCTCCCTGCGCCACCGGGAAAACCGCCGGCATTGGCGGCGGGGGCGGCGGCGTTATCGCGAAGGACGTAGTTCCGGGAAAATAGCACCCGTGCACGGATTTGTCTGTTATCTATGCCCAGTTGTGGGACAAAGACGCGCTTGTTATGAACGAAGTTTATGGATGTATGTATTGCATGGCTTTTGGCCGGCGACGTTCTATTTGTCGTTGCGGTTTTGTTGCAGCATGAATGTGTATTGTTCTTTGGATTCGATCGCTCGTGAAATTCGTCGTGCTTGTCGAGACCGTCAGATCTCTCTGTTCTATAGTGTAACGACCGTTGGCTAGTAACGATAGAAAAGTAGAATTCGATGTTTTGAACGTATCGAAGTGAGTGTTTTCGTGCCACTTTTGCTGGAGACGTTGGTCAGCTGATCGACACAGCAGTCAATGATACTATGTGCCATTTTTTTCAAGACTCTCGAGCGTTTTGGGGGGCTTCAGTTTTCTGTTGCGACCAACCAATTACCGCACGCGATTCGGCGAAATTTGAAGACGACATGCGGTACCATTCATTTGTTTCATAGTTGGTCGATCTCCGGTTCCTTCTCAAACACCAAGCTTGTTTTTCTGCGATCGACGTTCTCGAAATTTCTCCAGTGGATTTCGAGCTGATGGAAGCATAGCTGCTGGTGTAGTGTGTGATTCAAAAGTCTCGGTCGAATTTGTGATGAAATCACATCTCTTTTCGGTATTGTTGTTGTTGTCTTCATATGAAAAACCGTTCCGGTCTCCGCTCAGTACCTTCTGATGTCCGCACTGACTGGTCCAACTGACGCTGACGCCTTCCGTTGTCACAAGCCAACTACATACCCCCAAAGAGGGTGGTATGCGGCATTTTATACCGGGTGTGAAGTATATCGAACGGCATCGAGCTAAACTGCCGGCACCAATCAGTAGATCCTTTCTGGCAGCTTGGCATGCTAGCTTGGCAAGAGGACTGTGATGCAAGGCTTAGCCTTGCTGAAAGACATTATGACGGGCTTCTTGCGAACGGACTGGCGCTGTATAGCGCCCAACCGAGTTACCAAATTGGGTGGGACGGCGACACCACCAAATTCCTACGCTTCACCGCCCGTACGATGTTCACAACGACCAAGTACTCCATGTACGGAGTAGAAAAGAAGCTGGCAAACGGTGTTAGTGCAACGTAGTTCAACTGACTGAGCGGTGGAAGCTCTCATGCAAATCTCGCATCGAGAAGTTCAAATAGAAAAGTTCTGATCGAAAAGGGAAAGGGTGGCGTCCGCGAGGCATGACACAAACACACTCACGATGTTTTCGGAGTTTTCGAGCGGGCCAACCACGTGTGTGTCTGGCATCGCCTACCCGAGACTATTATAGTGATAGAAGCCGGGTTGAGGGGTTCAATCCAAGTCGGCTTGGTTGGGGAATGGGGAACTTTGTAAATAATGCAGGTTTAATAAGACCGCTGAAACTCCTGTGCCCCGGAGTTGCAACGAACATGTGTCTGGCATCGCCCACCCGAGACTAGCGATAGAAGACGGGTTGAGGGGTTCAATCCAAGTCAGCTTGGTTGGGGAATGGGGAACTTTGTAAGTAATGCAGGTCTGATAAGACCGCCGAAACTCCTGTGCCCCGGAGTTGCAACGAACATACGCTTCCCGATTCCGGAGGGTAACCACCCCGTCGAGATATCTCTTTGGAGGGGATGTCTTGAAACCATACAGTAAAGATTGAATGGCATCTGCTCGAAGTCGGCCTCTGTTTATCTCCACAACACAGTTTGAAATGCTGTGAAACGCGACCAGGATGCGGCTCATCCTCCTAATAACCCCCGCGCCCCCTCCGAACCGTAACTTACGAGATACGCCGCATATCTTTAGCCGGTGGGAGGTGGGAGGTGGGAGGTGGGAGTGTGTGGGGTGTGCATTTCAGCTTTCGACCTACTCCACCTGAGCGACTTCTGCCAGAGGCAGAGAGAAGGAGAGGGAGAGAAAGAGGGAGAGTGGGTGAGATACACGAAGACAGAAAGGGGCAGAAAGGCATCGAGAGCGATACGGGGAGAGAGCAAGAGAGGTGAGCAGACGGAGAGAGACACGAGTCTACAGCAGTCTGCTGTACAGCTGGAGAGAGGGGGAGTTAACGCGAGAGACTCAGAGTGGGCCCGAGCGACAGAGAGAAGCGTACGGCAAGAGGCAGACGCAAGAGATCGACCGCGCTGAGGATCTCACCACCAGCTAACAGCAGTGGTTGGGTAGTGGCGGTCTGCTGTGGTCAACGTCGATTGAAGCCCGGTTTCGCCGGTACATCTAACTGTTCGTGTTTTTCCTGCGGCGCACACGTACAGAAAATCATGTCGTTACACGCCAACGAGGGAGTGCCTTCGCATGGGTGGGATTCCAACGGCAGCGGGCCTTCACGCGTCGACAGCCTAACGGTGAGCTTGAGAGCGGGATGGGTGACGCTGTCTTCCTCCTACGTTGGTCTACATGTGAACAGTCCTCCACGGACTACAGACTAACCTCCAAAACCCAACCACGCTGAGACTCTCGTAGTCTAGAATACAGAGCCAGAAAGGAAGTGACGAACCTGTGTAGATGACCGCGGCTACGCTTCACCCACCAACCCCGCCCCTGCGACAATGTATGAACACCTCAGCCGTGGGTAGGTATTTCACGTGTGTCAGCCCTTGGTTGTTTCTATAGTGTGACTGCTGTTGCCGAGGTCTTCAGATGGCGCGTGCCGTATTGTCTAACCGCTGCGCGGATATATATGTCAGCTGTTTAGCTGTATGTACGTACATGCATGTGGTTCACGTATATGTCATGTAACAAAGAAACACCAGTTGCCAGTTGGCCTCCTGCCGGAGAGCGTTATATGACTACGGGTAACCCCCACATGGACCCTCGACATTGATTGTGAAGTTTTGCACGGAGTTGCGTGCAGGAATTGCCTTGGTGACGGGCCGAGTGATGCAGCATTTCGTGTCACGGTAAATTATCAACAGTACGGGTGGAAATAGTATTTCTATCTCTCAAAACCAGTCTCCCTGGCTGGGCACACAGGAGAGACACACCACAGGCATCGCGGCCGCCCTCTCGCTTTTCCGGTGGTGGTCGGACGTGTATTGTTCTGACTGCGTAGATAGTTGACAATCACATTTTCGTCCCCTTATGCATAGGTGACCGAGGATCAACTGGTGGCGGTGCGTCATGAGCAAAAGCACCGACAGCGGCTGGGCGAAGAAGTGTACCGCGACTCGAAGAAGCTGGTTGCCACGGAGCTAGACCGCATGGCTCTGCTCATGTCCGAGATCTATGACCGCAGGGTAAGAGTTTGCGATCTGATCGCCAATTGTTGGTTGAGGCGGAGTGAAAATGACGGGGAGGTCACAGACAACCAGCTTCTGTACCTCGTTGTTGTCAATATTGTACACTACCCTCGGCGTGCCAAGAGTGCTGTGCTGTGACAGGGACAGAGCATTGTTTGGCGTGCTCGCTCGACGGCGTAATTTGACTTGTGCCGTTCATGTGTTTGTTGCGACAGACCTCCGAGAAGCGCCGCCTGAGGCACTTCCTGGGTCTAGCCATCGACCTGAACACCGCCGAGACAAATGTTCTGCAGGGAGCGGAGGTGGGTGCTGCACGTGGTGAACTACTGTAGCCTCGAAGACCGAGCATGCAATTGAATAACGAGAAACGCGCAGCAGCCCCATGATTTATCGATTTTGCTGCCACTGTCTTGAGCGAAGCGGCCATCATCCGCGTGCAGGCATTCCGTTCGCCTTGTAAGCACCCTTGACCTATCGCACACAACTGCTCGCTAGCTCCAAGTCACGTCTACAGTCACGTGGCCGTGCTCAACATGAGTGCGGTCATAATGGACTACACCAGACCCTCGCACACGACTGCATCAATACTATCCGTGCACCACTTGTTGCATGCCTACCGCCCGCCGTGGGGTTGACAATCCCCAACCGCACCCTGCCACACTGCTCGCCGGTTCCCGTTGACCAGGCACGCCCCGTGGTTGCTACTATGGAAGGCCTGGCAGGCCAGCTTGCGACGGTCGGGCCGGAACCTTTGTCAGTTGTCGACGAAACTAAGAACCAGATGTTCGACCTTAAGGCTCAGGAGTCAACCCTCCAAGACGTACTCCTAGGGCGCAACCGTGACCTCGAAGCGCAAGAATCCCAAGAAGAAGAGCAGAACCGATCTCTGGGGGGGAGGGCAGGTGCTTCTCTGGAATTTCAGAAGTCCCACCTTCTGCGGCGCATCAAGGTGCACCACAAGTTCATGGTGGACTTGCTGGGCTTCATGGACAAGAAGGAGGCGGTGGTGGGGCGCGCCGTACTTCGCTTGGAGGCCGCCCTAGCGACGTGCGATGTGAGTGTCTACCAAGGCAGTAGATAGGAGGATAGCGATACCAGTCTCTCGCTTCTCCCGAGGGGGCTCTGAAAAGGAGAGTGTATGAAACCACGTCGGGAGCCATCCTCGATTTTCGGGGACGGCTTTTCTCGGGCCATCGGAACGCCCATACCCTCCCCTGCCGAATTGAAACTTCTCAAAACAAGCACTCGGCGACGCCACTCCCCCCCCCCCCCCCCCGCCCGGCATTCAACGGTAATGAACTATTCCACCTTTTGACTGGAAACAGGCACGGGACAAGGTTATTTCGGCTGCAGACGAGAGAATGGCCAAGCACATATTAGAGCTAATAGATCGCGCACAAAACCAGGTGAGGGTACTACACCCGGGAAAAGTAGGTCGGCAGAAAGAATGCCTGTGTAACAATGGTGTTGCTGCCTCATACGCACAGAGAATACATGAGGTTCAACACCCTGTGTGATTTTCGGCGATGGTGTCAACAAGATGGGGTTTCTTGTCACCTATTTTCCTCATTTGGCGTCTCGCGGTATTCCTGGCACATTCGACAGTGTTCGTCATCGTCGCCCCAAGAAACAACAGACTGCGGATGCGATGTTTCGAACATTCGAACACAAGGGTCGGTGATAGTGACTGACTATCTCATGCTCTTGTCAATGGAACCTCTGCTCGTCCAGGAACCAGCCCCAGCTCCGGTTGAAGCCCCCGCTAACTCCGTCACCACGGCGCTCAACAAGTGGGTCGAAGGAAGCTTCTTCGAACGGTTCGTGGCGCGCACCATGGCAAGAAACAACGTGGACGCCACCTTCTTGGCTACACGAGCTCTGTCGCCGGTGGATACGTGGTACGTGCTATCCACTTGCCTGGGACAAGGAACTTTCGGCGGCGTCTTCAAGATAGATGTCCTCACCCTGGGGGAGAGCTTCGCCATGAAGCTAATCAAGGAGGTAGGTGTGATACTTCCGTGTTGGCGCACTGGTTGCTCTTGATGGTAATCATGTGTGGCCATTGCAAAGCATCCGAAGAGCTGTCCCCCCTTTGTAGTTCTGCGTAATGTGATAATTCAAGTGCACCCGGCCCCCTATCGGAGCTCCTTTGAAGTGGGCTTGGTACTGCTGCACCGTCCTGCTTGCTTCTGGCCCTCGTACCTCAGGGAGAGGGCGAGAATGCTCGAAGGCGGACGCGCAGGTCGCAAGAGTCCCTGCTTGGGGAGATGGTCATCTGTGTCTGGTGAGACACGCATGTCGCCGTCATGTTTGTTTTTGCAGAGTAGCGAAGACTTTGCAGAGTTAACGAATAGAGTACAACAAGGGCGGGGCGGTTGCAAGCACGTAGAGTCTGCGGTAGATGAACACCGTTGTAGGGTTTTGGTGTCTTGGGAGCGGGAGTGGTTGTGTTTCCACAGGCGTGTTACATTCTTCCTCCCAGTTCAGGCACCAAGTACACCGACTTATAGGCACGGCTCGAAACCACGCACGCTGCGTACCGCTTTTATTGTCGATTCCGCGCGTGTTTCGATCAACCCACATTGTTCGCGTCGGTGCCCGCAGTATCGGATGTTTTGTGTGATTCCTCCAAACTACCGGCCTGATGCTTTCGTCCTTGGCTGTCAGTGTCCCGCCACACCCGAACGTCCTCCAAGCCGTCGGAGTGGATGACAGGGAGCTGGACTGCATGAAGATCGTCTACCACCTTGCAGAAGGCGATTTTAGCCGCTGCGCGTGGGGAAGCACAGAAGACAGCGCGGGGACGAAGATGCGGTGAGATGTCAACTCACGTCATCAGTCTCGACCCATCGGCACCACATGAATCGGTTGGACAGTATTGCCGTTGGCTGACGGCCTACTTGTGATTTTTTTACCATTTTGCAGAGGTGAGTTGTGGAATTTGTCTCTGTACTGTGGTTTTGTCACAGGAAACATGCATGAATACGCTCCATGGTTGACACAATTTGGACCGTCGATATCCGAGGACGTCATTTTTCACCCACCCAGGTGGATAATTGTTGATGTCGGGTCTCAATCCCTTTTCCCTGCCAGGACAACTCCGCACGGTGCATGCTGGCGAGGGTTTGCTATGTAAGGTGGCCGACGAGGATGTGTTTCTCATTCCACAGTTTGAAACTGGCAAGACTCTGAATCTGCATCGTTCTCCGCCCTAATCTGCCCATGTTAAGTACAATATAAACGTTTTTGACATGGCACCCAGGAGGGATCGTCCAATCAACTCACTTCGCTCTTCGGTTGTTTGCACACACCGGTGCCAAATCAGGGCCGATAATTAAGTCACCCCGGCGGGAACGTAGTAAAATTGCTTGACTCTTTGCTTTCAAGTGCATCCATGTGCAGCATCACGGACCCCGTACGCCTCTGAATAATAACATCAGTTACGGTGTGTGTACCAAGGTCGTGCATGGCCAGCGGGCCCTGATCGGTTATTTTATCGTGATACATACTGAATGCAAGAACGCTGTATTGCGTGAAGCGGAAATTGTTGGTATCGCGTCAAAGACGCCCGCAAAAACGTCGCAGCAGCAACAGCAACAAGAAATCTGACGTCCTGGTGGGAGGTTTTCCAGAATCAGTGCATCCCCGTGCGATCCCAGGGACCGTGAGGTGAAAATTCAACAATCGAACTGACTTCGTTGTTCATCTTGTCGCGATCTCCTGTGCTGAATCAGGTCACCGTGCCATCTGCGATACTCTGAAGCGAAACACATATATATTCCATGTACTTTCCTCCGCCACACCATGGGGGCTCAGCCATTCTGACTCATATCAATTAGCTTGAAGCGTTTTCGCCGACTGGTCTAATCCCCGGGGTATCAATCCTGCGGCCCCGTCACTGCTGCGAATCTATTCTGCCCCTGCAGGTATCTGAGCGAAGTCGCCATGGGTTTGACCCACCTTGCCAACCACGGCTATGTCCACAACGACATCAAGCCAGCGAATATCTTGCTGGTTGACTCCACGCAGGATGGGAACAAGACAACGCGTGCCGTACTAGCGGACTTTGGATGCGCGTTAGGTGACAACACCACTCTACATGTGTTAAGAAGAATTGCCCACGTGTGTGTGTTGGATGGCCTATTCCCTTCTTTCGGCAAATGCGCTATCAACCTGTTTTGGCCTTCGCCTCGCTCTGCTAAAAAAACTTTCAGCGTGCCCCTTCACTGAGAGACACCGCCGCTACTACGTTGGTGTGGCCTCTTCTCACTCCCCTGTTTGAGGCCCTATATGTACGTTCAATCACCTCTCTAATCGTACTCCTTTCCCCGCTTCTGCCGGCCATGTGCTCAAAACAAATATTTTTTCCAAACACGACCACCACCGTCGTCGGCATCAGCCATCGGAGACGAACGTTTGGGAGAAGGCACCCTCGGGAGCAGGCCGCCGGAAGCGAGAAGCTCGGTTAGATGCCACCCGTCTGCGGAGGTTTTCTCCATGGCACACACCTGCCTAGTCACGTTCACCAAGAGGGGCCGGAAATATCATAATATGTTCGCAAGCGAGGTGCGCTCGACACTTGGCTACGACGGTGACAGGGATAGGTTTGCTTACAAATCACCGACAGGGAGGGTGAGGGTCCCTTTGACCCTGAATTTGGAATAGGTTCTCGAGGGGGTTGGAGGTTTTCTCGATCAGATGAATGACCACCTGTGACGAACTACTGTAGGCGGTACAATGTGCAATCGTTGGCTTCGATAATCGGGGGGACATCGGACTGCTACTGCTGTGCAGACATTAACACCGCCCCGGGCGCTTTAGTTTAGCATGCCGTATGCTGATGGTCGAGGCCACGATACACCGCATCATCACCCCACCACGCCTCTGCTTCGTTGTAGTCTTCTCCACTGTCTGCACGGGAATCGCTCTTCTTCCAGCCCCTCAAGGACGTTTGGATGCCCTCTCAGTTACTACCTCCCTCTCAGCTGCCTCCCACGGATGCCCCTGTTCGTCCTTTTTCGTGTTTGTTCGTCTACTCTTGTGCGTGCAACACGACAGGAGCTAATAACGCGCTGCGACAGAAATTTCCTCGACAACATCGACGACGACCGTCGGTTCGACAAGTACATCGTGAGTCCAATTTCCACTATCCCCTAATGGTTGTGGCCGTGTTTTGAAAAAGCTTTCTATCCCTGGAACTAGGGTTAGTCTCGTTGTTCCTGTGTTCGTGTTTTCAAGCAAGATTGTGGCAAAACGCACCGAATCGAGAGCACGTTCGTGGCTTCCACCCCCTACCCCAACCCAACTCGTACCACAGCCATTTGTTGACGGGAGGCGGGGACGTCTTGGTTGACGGGGGGCGGGGTAGAGGTGGAAGCACCAGTTTAGGAAGGCGTTTCCCAGGTTTGAGAGGGAGAATATTGAACCGGCTTCGGATGAGGGGAGTGTGATATCCCCGCTGCCACCCCCACTTCGCTGCGGCCGGGTACTTCTCGCTCGTGTTGTATGTGTCGATGGTCGGCTGTCCACCCTTAAGAATGCGTCAGAGGCAGTGGGTATCACCGCTTAGACAAGGTCAATTGGACGGACTACCCGTGGTTTGGGAGAAACAACAGTAAGATCGATTTATCACCGCCCGCCGCCAACGTACGTACTCTGACCGCAGGAGATAATCTCCCACCGGAACATGCTGGAGTCCTCTACACTCGAGATCTTGCTCAACCCAGACCACCTCCTGGACGAGCTTCATGATGTGAAGCAGGAGGTGAGAGCGTCAAAACATGGTCATCGTCCTGGCCTTACCTTAGCTCGCTTAGATGGTTATGATTCACACCGCATGCATGAGGCAAGGATAATGTACCTTTCTTCTTGTTGAGGCGATATTCTGGCAGCCGGTGTTCCCTCCCAAACGTCGCCTTTTTGCAGTTCTTGTTTCGACGATCAGCGTAGACCCGGGTTGTTCAGAGATTCACTCCAAACTGGGTTAGACGATGGGCATGGTCTGGAGCTCGTCGATACAGAAGCCTCACAGTCCGATGACCACAGCTTTTCGCTGGCCGTGAGGAGACTCCCATGCGTCTACAACTGACAACACCTGAGCAGTGGACGACCGTTGACGCCGTTCCTCAGCTAATGGGGCGTTTACTTGTACATGCTGTTTGGGCGCCATGTCATGGGATCCACAACAGTTTTCAGTCTCACGTCAGCAGGACGAGGGGTGTGTGCATGCTCCGGGTCTTGAACGGTCGCTTTCTCGGAGCGCCCTTGCCGGGGACTTCCCGCCCATACTCGTTATGTGAAGCCAATGAACCTCTGCAATGATAATTTCCTTTGCCCATGGAGGGCCTTTGTTCACATAAGCTATTGCTCACCCTCATGGGGCGCTCCTTGAACGGTGCACTAACGTTACGCGACGACTCACAAACTCCATGCTTTCGTGAACGATGTACCTTGACCGTCGTTTCTCCCTCTACCGTCGCCGCCACTACCCGATATTGATTCTGGTGTACGAACGAATCCAGTTCATCGAGATCGTACGAGCGGCCCTCCAACGTGATCCGACCCTCCGCCCTTCGCCAGCGGAGCTTGTCGAGTCCCTCACCAGCATGAGTATTCGCTTGCTCGAGAAGGAACTGGGGATCACACCGGTCTCCGCTGCTGCTACTGCCGCCGCCGCTGCCACTACAAACGCCGTTGCTGTAGCACCCGCCCCCCCCCAGATGGCACCATCACTCGCTCAAGTACTGAGCGGTGAAGGTGGCGGCGACGGCGGGAGACCTATTGTGAGCGGCGGTGGGGGCAGTGGTGGTGGAAATGCTATGCTTCCGTTGAGCATGCAGGCAACGGGAGGGGACGCGGCGGCGGTAGGCCGGAAGGGTGCCGGCGGGTCTGCCGCCACGCCGTTGCCGAAAGATTCTGCTGGTGGAGCGACGGCAGCAGCGGTAGCAGCGGACGGCAGGGCAGGCGTGCTGCCGTCTTCGAACAACGTGCCTCGCTATTTCCCGGCCTTCAGTGGAGAAGTACGAGCAAGAGAGGAAAGGGTGCCCCGGGCGATTCAGGTCGGCAGTCAGCATGTGCCCCCCACGTACGACGGTCACCGTGGCCCGGGAGGTAGGGGGTTCGAGAACCTCCAGCCAGCGGGACGCGGCGGCGGGGACGGCAATGCCGCGCGTGTCGGTGCATGTCCACAGGCCCCGCCACGCTGCCACCACCCTCAGCGGCAAGGATGCGCACCGAGGGCTGCCGCTGCCCCACGCCACCGCCGGCACAACCACCACCACCAGCACCGCGGTGGTAACGAAGAGGCCGGTGTTGGCATCGGTGTGAGGCCAGACGGCCGCCGTTCCGCTGCCGCAGGCGGGATGGGAAACACCTACCGCCGCCCCCAGCACAACACTCCCCGGAAAGACATGAGCAGTGCGTTTGGTGGAACCGTCACTGTCGTCCCATCGCCGCCCTGCGTGCGCCCACCGCCGGGCTACGAACAGTACAACACACCGGGCTACGCACAACACAGCGCACCGGGCTACGCACAACACAGCGCACCGGGCTACGCGGAATGCAACGCACCGGGCTACACGCAATGCAGCACAACGGGCTACCCGCAATACAATGCACCGGGCTACGGGCAATACAACGGACCGGGCTACGCGCAATGCAGCACACCGTCTGCGGTTCCCCCTCCGCCGCCGCCACAGTGGGGCGCGGGGGGACCGGTGGGTGGACCCCCGTTTTTCAACCGAGCTACGGCATCGCCGGTACCATCAGCACCATCACCCCCACCGCTATGGCAGCAGGCCGCATACGGTGCGCCGGTTAATGTTGGTGTTGGTGTTGGTGCTGGTATTGGTGGTGCTCCGACTTACTACGGCCACGCGGCGTACGCGAGGGTAGGAGCGGGGCAAGGGGTGGGTGGGGTGTGGGGCCATTCTCCGGTGAGCGCTCAGATGCCCAACGCTAGGGTGCCGGCGGGGCATGCCGGAGGCTGGGCGGGGTATTCCTACGGCCCTGGGTACGGTGGGTACGGTGGGTGCGGTGCCACACCCCAGCCGCCATGCTTGGTGTGGGTGCCCTTCTCTTGACACGCGGCAGCGACTACTTTGCCCTTGATCGGGGTGTCCTGTACTTTGAACGCGGTGCAGGTTGACCTACCGTTTATTGCTTTCATATTCAGTGGTCTCGAGCACTTGGAGGGAGACGTATTTTGACATGAAACTGATGGTGACCGGCGTTGTTGGAGTCCCCTGCCGTACTACGTTGTTAGTAAAACGTCATTGGATGGAGGTGGCGGCGCCGGGTCACCTTGTATAGGTAACGATAAAAAACTTGCAGTTCTAAGATGGCCTATGTATTCGACCTCGAGAGGGACGTCGAGACAGCAAGATAATGAGAGTGAATATGTAGAGCGGTGTACCGGGAATATGTGTCGGTAATGAGTATTAGTATTCGGTAAAGCGTATCTCCTGTTGTTGCAAAGATAGGTAGGTGTATATATTCAGACCAGGCACACGCTGTCTCATAGAGTCGAGCCACAAACTGCATGCACCAGGTGTCACGGATTGCAAGGGTTAGGATGCAATGATATCAACCGAGAAGCTAAACAGCGCGTGTTGTTTGCGTTTGAAGAGTTTTTTTTCGTTGAGGGTGTTGCAGTTTGGGTGGGTTTAAGAGATGATTTTGTTTCTCTTGATGTTGAAAAACCCGTGGCTACCGAAGGTGTCTCTGGGGATTGCCGCAACGTAGAACAATAACGAACGGACTGTGTTGTGATGGTGGAAGTGCTGGACGTGTGGTAATGCCGAAGACCGACCGCGTTGTGATCGAGACAAAAACAACCACACCAACAACAACACAACAACAACGCGTGCGTGCGTTTGACGTCCTTTCCAATCGGTCGCAACAACGGTGAAAGAAAGCAGCTCCCACAGCAAGAGGGAAACAAAGGACTGTCGGGAAAGGCCCTGCGACCCTTCGTTGTGCTAGCCCGGATCAGAGTGAGTGATAGATGCGAGAGTGACCGAAACGCGGCTGTGACAGCGGTTTAGGGAGTGACACGGCGGTGGTGCGACGTCAGAGCACGAGCGAGCACATTCCGCGAAGGATACAAAGGTATCCAACTCTGAGCTCTCTCCCTTCGCTCCAATCACCACAACCGTGCGCCAACGATGTTGAAACGGATACATACCAAATCTACTCCTCCCCTGTAGGCGAGGGACAGAGATCTGTTGTGTCACCTTGTGGCCCCTTGACGAAAAAAACGCTCGATATATCAAATGATATTGTTGTTTCGCCACTCCCTGACGCGTGTGTACTCTCTGCAATGACAACCAGAGCGCTGCTGCCTTCTGCGAACAGACAAGCACGTACGCATCTCGCCCCCTTTCCGTACTCATCGCTGCTTCGAGAGAGACATGAGGTACAGGAAGGACAGCAAGCTAAAAATACATGGATGTATGCAAAACCTCTTCCGATCCCAAACAATTAACCAACAAACCTTGTTGCTGTCGACGACGCCACTCACCACCGGAAGATAGACTACAGAAGGCTGCCGCCGTATTGTTCAAAGCGACACCACCTCTGAGCTGTTGTAACCAAACGCGCGCGCGCGAGAGAGAGAGAGAGAGAGAGAGAGAGAGAGAGAGAGAGAGAGAGAGAGAGAGAGAGAGAGGGAGAGAGCACATGTGCTTCAAGCAACATCACGCAGTTGGCAAATTCCATTTTCTTGGATTCAATCAAAACTGTGCCGGCGGAACTGCGCGTGCGCACATAAGGGGACCTGCGTGGAGACCACACTCCTAAAAATGAGGTTTATGTTCCGAAACTTGAGATTCACTCCTCTGCCAATCCTTCTACCTTCAAGCGATGTCTGGTCAAAGAACAAAGCTAACACAACTAAATCAGACAAAAACTAGAAACAAACGTACGTGTAGGCATGTCACATACATACATACGCAGTCCATCGATTCATCCCGCAGTTTCCTCCTGTCCGCCTGTCAGACATGAAAACGACGACAGGGCGAGGCTGATCCAAAGTTTCACGGACAGTACAGCCGGACCGGACGAACAAATATGTTACAGTCCAAGAAATGAGACAACAGTAAAATGAATTCTACCGCGAACGACACGGGCTTCGTCCTGCAAAAAGAGGCAAACCAGATCGAACGACAGAAGGCCGTGCACGCCAACCTACGACGGCAGCAAAAAGTAAGCAAAACCGTTTCGTTCGGTGTTCATCCGGTTACGAATGATGGCCCTCAGGCCACCATGCCTTCCGAAATTCCTGGTTCACCCGCTCATCCGAAATTCTTGGTACATCCGCTCACCCAATCCAACGACAGTAAGCATATCACTATCCGCCCACGTGCTTGTTTGGAGCAGGGGTGCGGGTGGGAGGGGGAAGGGGGGATCGCCTTCCGACAAAGTGCTGCCCCTTGTCCCCTCGTGCACGTCTCGCACGTAAAAAGACAACTAACTGATGCTGCTGCGTTCGTCGGACCTAAAGCATAACTGACAAAAAACTCCAACTAACTGCACTATTATCAAAGCTACACTACACTATATCACGCTGCTATCACTATGAATATTTTTTTTATGTTCACAACCAACAAACCTACCTCGCGTTTTTGGTGCCTGCCATCAACGGTGTAATCTGTGAATAACCTCCCCACTCAAAAACCTACCTATTTAGTTACGACATGCCCCGTTTCGTTAGGGGGTGCCGGTGTAGAACTAACCAAACAGAATGCCCGTGTTCAGACTGAGCTAAACAACCAAGAATGAATCCGGAAAGTGCACAAGATGAGCAACAAGCACACAAGAGGGTGTACGGCAAGGATCTGCCTACGAACGGTGGTCGAATTTCCGACTGGAAAATCTCCGTGCTGAAGGTCCTTGTTGGTTCCTTTCCCTTCCGTCGCTCCAAAAACAAGAAACTGCGACCCGACAACCAACACTTTACACGCCATACATAGCAAGCACCAGCCTTCCGTTCATCCATCCCTTCCTCGTTTGCCTTTTTAAGGGCACAGGTCAAAGTGGCCAACTACGCACGGCCGTTCAGCACCCGACTTTACCACTCGAATGTGTGGCATGGTGCTTATGCCCCAACAACGTGGCACGACCTACCCGACGACGCCACCGCGTGGCCCCTTCCCGCCCCTTATCAACACAGGCACAAAGAAATGAAGAAGTGTGTTCGGCGCTGGGTGAACGATGGCCCGAAAAGAAGAACAACACCCAAAACCATCAAATCAAGTACAGTGGAATAGTCGGAGCGACCAGTGCACAAAAGTATACAATACCACAACATAGAGAATACACCCGTTTCCGAGCAGCAGCACCCACCTGCTGTAGCTATCTATCACCATATGGTGCTCTAATATCGCCCCCAAGTGACCTTGCACGCCACCATGTGAAAAGGTGAATATAATATTTCCTAATGTCGACCAGCCCTTCTCCGCCTTCACTAAAATCGAAGCAAGGCAAGCAAGGCAAGCAACGCATTCAAATCACCAGACGGCCATCAGAAGCTGGTAATACCGCCTTTCGTTCTATGTCTACCCCCGATGGGTAATATCCCCATCGAAGCGCGCCACGCCAATCCTGCCCCGGGGGGCTCAACATAACAAACGGCCTACCTATACTACAACAGGGCCAAATACCAATAAACACTGGCAACAATACGAGCATACAAGACAAGACGACAAGACACTTATCCTGGCAGAAAGGAAGGAAGACGACTGCCAATACCAAGCGCTCTTGATCTACCACATCTACCAAAGCTGAATCGACGGTGTTGAGACTGAATCAAGCGAATGAATGTTTCTTCCGGGGGGGGGTAGACTCGCGACAAGGGCAACCTGGGCACAACCAAAGGATCGACGAAGGAGGAACAAATCATAAAATGGCAACACATTCGCAACCCATGTCAAAGGACCAATCGGGCAACAACCGCATTGACAAAAGAAAAGACACACACCATCGGCGTCAATAAACACAACCACCCGCCTCCTGAACAAACATACAAGTAATATGTATATACGGCTAACACGTGCATATCAACACCTGATCCAACAGGAACCACGGTGATCTGTCAATACTGTACGATACTCTACTGCTTACGGAATGACGCCGTACCGTGTGCCACAAACAACACTCTTTCGGGAAGGAACAAGACCACCACTGGGAAAGAGATATCTCAGTGGTGGACCCCTCGCCCGCCATTCCAATCAAGCATCAACGAATGGGACGCCACGGCTTCTCGAAAACCGCAACATATTATGCGGGGACTTCGTTTTCCAAATGAGACCAACGTTCAATACACAAACATATCCCCCGTCCAAAGATGGAAAAAATGTGAGGATTATCCACATGTTCAACAGAATCAATCCATCACGTTACGCCTTTTACAGGACGCTGCTATCGACCACTTGCCCGATAAGCTCGATTCGGGCTTGCGACACACACGCTGCAGCACAGCACTGAACAACACGGACCTCGTCTCTCCAAGTACATGACCGTGCAGAAGGGTGCCGAATTTCTTCACAAAGACTACGCTAAATCGCCGACGTCGATAGGTGAATTCGCGGCGTTTTCTTCCCACATTGTTCCTAACCCCGCTTAGTGTAATTTACCAATATGATCGATAATGCCAGCATTCCCCCCTTTTATGCAGTTCCTCAGTCATTGAAAAAAGAATGAGAGATTCACACAGAAAGAGACAAAAAGATCAACATGTGCCTAGCGATACAACACACACAAGATGCGGGAAAAGGCCGCCAACACCACAAAGCAACCAACTCCCCGTCAACCACAACATCCCCTCGCATCAACTAACCTCAACCAACAGCGGAACCAAGGTAGGTCGGCAAGGCCTAGACTATCCTAACCTAGCGTTGCAGTAACAACACGTGCACCAACATTCACTGCGGGCACTCAATGCCCACTCGACATGCCACCTAGCCTAAAAGGGAAGCACACAGAGTCGTTGTCTTCACTCAGCTTGCCCAGCGATGAGGCCTCCTCTGCACCCTACGCGGCAAAGAGATTCAACCAATCTCACCACACACGGCACACACAGACACATGCGGAGGCCGCTCCGTCTCTCCCCATCCACCCACGTTTTTGAGTCTCGCGAGGCCAAACCGTGCTTCGGGGTCCACGCAGCTCAACGGCCGGTGTACTCGCGAGACTAGACGGCCCAAAAGACGTGACGCAGAGTAAGGGACAGACAAACCACGCCCATCAGTCAAAACACACACACACCGACAGGGAGCAAGAACAACGCTGGCCAATCAACTCCATCGGTCAGCACGCACGGACAGGGAGCAAGAACAACGCTGGCCAATTAAAATCGATCGGTCAGCCGAAGAACGCGCCTCGGGTGAAACCCCTGACCCCCGGGGACTTCAAGGTGCGCCGGGAGGATTTCACAGTCGGGGTTTTGGAAGCTCTGTGGACAGGCGTTGTCTGGCTCCGGGAACTGGGGATGTACACCGACATGCTCCTGGCGAGGGGTGTCTTGCCCCGGCCATAGGCGGTGTTGTCCGAGGAGAGCAGCCTGTCCCTGGCGGTCCCCGCGTCCCTGCGTTAACGCCGACACGATAAAAATGTTACGGAAACGTTAGCCTTGATAGTGGTGGTACAAGTGGGGGACAACCTTGAGTTCGTGCCGCGGCTCACGTAGGTACACTCCAAGTGCAGCAGGTCCTACCGCACACCTACAGAGCAGCAGCACAGACTATGAAACATTCCTCCATAATATTCCTAGGGTTTAAAAAATGACAACGTACAAGTGGTCCTCATGTGTGGGACGCGAATCTTCAGGTTTGTTGCCGCTCTCTCCCTCTTTCTCTCTCTCTCTCTCTCTCTCTCTCTCTCTCTGAGTGTTTCTCACCTCTCAGCGGACATCCTCCTCCTCGTAACCGTCTTAGCCTTAGTCTTGACAGCGCTCCTGACTTCCGCCCTGGATCGAGACGAAGGCGTCCTCAGTCTCACCCCACTCGAAACCCCAGGCTTCAAGGCGAAGGGGTTGGTGGTGGTGGCGGCGGTCATGCTAGTGATCGTGGTGGCGCTGGTCCGTGGACTTGTCCGCGAAGACGACGAAGAAAAACCACTCGGCAGCGTGCCGAAAGTGGTTAGTTTGTGCATCGGGGAGGGGGCGCGTGGGGAGACAGCCTGCACAAGGAGAAGAGCGTCAACAGAAGAGAAGGCGTGGGAGGGAGAGGGGAAGGGGGGGGCATGACACAGCCATGCGGTGGACACGGGAAGGACACTCCTCTCAAGCACTTGCGAAGCAGTCAGTGTAAGTAGTGAAAGCAAGGGTATATGCACAAACGAAATAGGGACAGGTTTAGGGGTAGTCTTCAGCTATCATAGCTCACCATACGCCTGGGCCTGCCCTGCTGCTCCTGCCGAAAGAAATCTAGCGCTGCCGAAAAGCGTTCCTGCATCGGAAAAAATGACAGAAAATAAAACGTTTGAAAGGGAAGAAAAACAGAACGTAAGAAGTGGCACGAAACTGACTGACTGCTGATAACCCGGACATTAGGAGGGAAGCCACGGGAGAGCTGAGGGTGGGAATCAAGTGTGTGGGGTCCGCGTTTGTTTTCCCTCCAGTACGTGCCACCTCCAATGTCCGTATGGCACGTGTGTAGTAATTCTTCTTACTGTATGAGTGACCCCGGCTCGTGCGTCCAAAAAGATGCCGAACAGGTGTGAAAATTGATGTCCAGATCAGCGGAGCGGCGCTGACCGTATATGACACAAGATAACACACCCCCTGGACCGATTTTCAAAGCTCGATTACTCCACGACGAAGAGGATGCATAAACGAAACAATACATTTTCGAAAACCTCTCGACGAGACGGTTCCAACGCCGCCGTTTTCGGCGCTGTGACTCTTCCTGCTGTTGAGAAATCGAGCTTTGAAAATCGGCCCAGGGGGTGTGTTATCTTGTGTCATATACGGTACGCACAACCTGGATATGTGGATTGCGTACACCGCAGCATCATGGCGATTGACGCAAAGGCCGCCTCTTTGTCGCTGCAGTACAATAGTCACCAAGAGTCACGATTGCACCCAACCCAGCCAGACAAGACGGCGTGGACTATTTCCCCTAGTAAAAAACGCTTGCAAAGGGTTGGAAAACTGCAACCTCTGAGACTATCAGTTTGTTGTGACACGCACATCGAACCGGCCATTTCGGGTAGATTCTGGGCGACCAATCCGTGCCTATGCTGCATACACCGCGACGGTTTGGGACTATGTAAAAAATCCCATTCTTTCCACCCCTGTAGTACTACTATTCCAAAAACGCCTTTCTTTTTCGGTGGGTCGCGAGTGCACCTGTTCCACGCCCTTCTTCTGCGGAGGGCCGGCCACTTTAGCAGGCAGCCGCACCTCGTCTTGATCCTTGTAGGTGGTTTGTCCATCAGCTCCCTTGCCGGTTGCCTGCGATTTGTTCGAAATCAGCAAACGCCCAACCAGAACGCAGACACCACGTGCGTTGGCGACAATCAATGCCAAACCAACCTTAAATCGCTGCAGTATGCATGAATTGTGTGACGAAACTCTTTTTCGGGGCAAGGGCTAACAAATGCCCAACAAGAACGCAAGCGTCAGGTGCGTTGGCGGCGATAAATGCGAAACCAAACTTATATCCCTGCTGCGTACATACATGGCGAAACTATTTCTCGGGGAGATGACTAGACAACGGAAACACTCACGTAAGCGCTGCTGTGGACAAACATGGCGACACTCTTTTTCAGGGAAAGGACTCGACAATGGCAACACTCACGTAATCCCTGCTGTGGACACATTCGACGAAACTCTTTCAGGGAAAGGACTAAACTACGGCAACACTCACGCAATCCCTGCCGTGTTCATATACGTATGACGAAACTTTTTTCAGGGATAGGACTATTTTAAACACTAACACTCACGCAATCCCTGCTGTGTTCAGGTACATGTCTAAAATCTTTTTCAGGGAAAGAACTGTCGGACACCGACACTCACGCAAAGGTCGACGGCCCCGAGGTCCAAGTTGTCAGCTGCCTCGAAGAGGTCATCATCGTCATCGTCATCATCATCCCCGTCGCCGTCGTTTCCACCGTCATCGTCGCTGTCTGGGATGCCTGAGAACGACACTGCGTGTTGCGCGTGCATCTCCGCTGTGTCCATGGTGCCTGCCGTACCCTGGCTCCCCTCCTCCCAGCTCACCTTGCGTGCGTAGAGAAAATCAAGAGGGTGTTTGGTTTTTCCCAAAAATTAGGCGTAAGTGTTTTTCTGCAGCAAGGATTGTGGATGCATGACTTTGGGCAACCGGCTTCCCTCTCGAGTACGGGGAGCAGGCGCCATTGAGGTCTGCCACGGCAAGGACATATGTAGCAGCACCTCCCGTAAAAAGTAAACTCGAACACATTTCACAAAGCCAATCGCACGCACCATTGAGGACCGACATGGCAATGACACGAGCAATAAGCAGCACCTCCCTCCCACAAAAAAACAACCACCGACAACACCACCACGACAACAACAAAGCAACTTACTGCTTGTACCAACTTACCCTGCTAGGAAAGCCGGAACCGCCTTCGCCCCCTATCCCTAGCATGCGCGTTCCTGGAGACCTCAGGCCGCCGCTCGCGGGGGACTTTAGAGGGTTGATGCCACCGCTGTTCCCTCCGACACGCCTTCCGCCGGCCTCTTCGCCATCCGCAGACCAAGTCAGGGCGGGCGGTTTCGTTCTACCGCAGCTACTGCCGCTGCCTCCACCCTTGGCTACCGTCGTGGTCGTGCTCCTGAAAATGTTGGTACTCCTAGCCATGGTGCTCGTGCCACCGGAGGCAGAGACCTCCAAGTGGTCCGTGAACGACACCCGCTGTTGCTGGCGGTGCTGCTGGCGGTGCTGCTGCTGCTGTTGCTGCTGCTGCTGCTGCTGCTGCTCTTGACGGTGGTCCAGCACGAGGCGTTCGATGGCCGGGGACAGCTTGCACTCGTCCCCGATCACCACCGGCGCGGGCAACGACGATAGATCAGACTCCTCCGAGGAGCAGCTGTCTCGCTCTCGTTTCATGCCCTGCTGCTGAACTCCGCCCGAGACGGTGCTGCAACGTGCACGAGCAAAGGGATCGAGATCGTTGAGCCTTTGACAGCGTTGAAGGTTGAAGTTTACTTCTACTACTTTGAGTCGGTCCATTGCTAGAGCCGTTCAATGTTCGATACAGCAGTGCCTCTCGCAGTTTCGAACCGACACAAGTCAGTCACGCGTGTTTGGTCACATCTACGAGGTACGAGGGGAAGGAATGATTTCAATCGCGCGAAATGAAAGTCGCAACACAGGTGCTCGAGTTCATCGTGTGTTTCATTGCCCACTCTGGGAAGGAAGCTGTATCAGATACGGCGCTTCCGCTTCGAATTGGGTAGATCTGGGAAAGCAAGAACAGGCGCACGCGCTACGTAGTGATTGAAAACCGCCAAACTCTCACTAACCTTCGGCACTGTCATCTGCACTCACGGGTCTGTTTCGGGTGCAAACGAACTGGGTGTGGGGTGATTTGATCAAGAGATAGAAGTGTCCCCTTAAAGATGGGCCGGCCTCACATGCTAGAAGTTTCTTCCGGAGTTTTGGACTCGTCCGAAGGAGGAAAACCAGCCGCTTCCGGTGGCAGTTCCTCGGACAAGTATCCCACCGGGAGGTGCTGGTCAATGCTGGCGTTGTCGTCCAGCTTGGACAGCAGGCGTGAGATCTCCCTCTTCTTGCCCTCTTCCTGCTTGCCCTTGAGCTTCTTGAGGGTCTGCCGGGAAGAAGCGGCCGGTGCCGAGCGTCAACCGAGATATCAAGCACAACGTCAGGCGGCCCCACACCAAGATGTTTGTCTTTATTGACTTTACAGTACCGACGGTCCACACCCCTCAGTCACGCCGGAGTCGTGCCTTAAGGTTTCGCATTCTCTTGCTGTTTGCCCAAGAAACATCGCTATTTGTACTCGTAGTAGGCTTGCACGATGCGGTACGATTGATGGTACATCAGATAGCACGTGGCAGGAATCAGGCCGGGTCAGAGCTTTCACGGCCGGTCAGAGCGTCCGGGAGGGGGGGCTCCCACGGTGTGGCCCCCCACGTAAGGGTTGCCAGCATTAACAACAAATAACTGGCTTTGGGCGGGTGGTAGCGTAGAGTAGGGCGCAGATGCAAGAGGGTCAAGAAGATGACGAACAACGCCGAGGAGATTCAAACAGGAGACAGAAATTATCGTCCCACACACTCACACACCTGCATGACCTCTCTGGCGTTCTTTTCGGCTTCCACGATCGACGACTGCTGCAGGAACTGTACCACGGACGCCCACCACTGCCGACCGATGCAGCAAGCACAGGACGGAAGGCGAGGTAAGAGGGTAGAGACGAAATGGATAGAAGACAGTGCACGGGGACGGCACCGTGATTCACATCCAAGGCGTTGAGGCAACTCAACGACGGTCACATTGCACAACAAGGAATGCGGCAATGATTGAGGTGAACGTCACGTACATAGCAACCTATTCTCGATGTTATGCTACAGCAGTTCGGGAGGAGTGTCACGAGCAACGATTAATTGAACATGCGGGCGGGACGCACCTCTTCAAGGAACTGGGCGAAGGAGTTGGTCCCCGGCTGCAGCTTGGAAGACGCGCGGACGGTCTTGCGGATGTCCTTGAGCATCTTGAGGATGCTGTCGGCGTACATCGGAATCTTTGAGATCTCGCTTCGGTGCCTGCGAGAGACAACGAAAGAGGAAGCATGCAGCAACAATACCACCGGAAGACGGAACGGGGACAAACAAAAACCCAACCAAAGGGCATGCCTCAAACTCCGCCTTTCAAGGTATATTTTTGGTATACATACATGACGCATTGATACGCCGGGCAGTAGTCGGTATGTTTAGACGAAACGCATACCGTACTACTATTACAGAGGGGCTACCCGTTAGAGGCTCGAGACATCGTTCGTCTTCTTGGCCAGCATGCTCAAAGAGCGTTCTTTCTAAAAGTCAGCCGGAACGAGACCCAACACCAGCATGTCCTTCTTATCATCATCATCAACCTACAGAGGGTTCGGCGAAGGCCGAACGCTACGGGTAGCGCACGAGACCGACACGATCCACAAGCACTTTCAATGCTGGGTACTCGCAACCATGACCTGACACTCACAGTGAGGTAGGTAGGCCGGCTGGAAATTGAATCGGCACATGGCGTATATGATGTATCTAACGGTACCGCTCACGCTGGCAGGTATGGAGTGGAGACGTTTTCAGGTAGCATCGAGCATCCATATCTAGCTCTGCGATATTGGAGCAGAAAAAATCAATGCTGGTATAATCGAGGGATTACATAGACTATTCTCGAGGTCCATACACCAACGCCTGCATCAGCCTTGTAGTACTGGGCTCACGAGGGACTGCGCCGGATTGCCATTACATGGAGGGGCAATCAACGACGTGAACATCTAGCGACGACCACCCCTCTTTAGTTCACAACGAATACAGCGGTGGTAATCAAAACTAAGACAATCTGGTCGTCAACTCCAACACCGACACCACCGACCGCGACCAAAACGTTCAAAACAAGCGGAACGACAACACAATATTCAACACAACCGCATCCGCTGCTACGACAACCACTACTGCCGCACCTTGTTCCGGTTGCGGTGAAGGTAGACAAGACGCAACCACTTCACATCGTGCATTTAGGAAGATTACACGTTCGAAACCTACTTGAAGTATAAACATACCTTGTCGAGACGAACCGTCGAGAACGTTAAGAACACCACAACAACAACAGTAACACCTACGTAAATCCAACCGAAAATCTCGCTCTCACCTCTTGTATTGCTCCATCAAGGAATCCGTGCTCTCGCTCTCGCCGGGGATAGCTCCGTCATCTGTGGCCATTATGCTCTGCGCGGCGGCACACGCGCATGACAACAGCAGTTGGTTCCAAGGGTTTCGACTTCCAATAAAAGAGTCCGTGCCATTGCAGAGTCAGTCTAAAGCAGCACACCATGCGTCGCCTTCCGCTACAGCAAGAAAGCAAGCAACGCAACATGCATCGTCCCACCGGAGAGCAAAACCCGTTTGCGTTCTTTGCTTCACTCTGCCCTGAAAGGGCGGGCCAAAAGGTGTGCGATCCATCTATCGATCGATATGTCACGCAGTACTTCAATTGCTAAAACCATCCACCCTTCCCGGCTTTGTCAGTCTCTTGATTGTGGAGCAATCGGCAGATAAAAGTTGATCGCACGCCTGGCTGTGGTGCGTTCATCCACATTTTTAAGGTACAGCAGTAATATCTTCTCTCCATCCCGCCCGTCTCTTTGCATGATTCCATGATTCACGCGCGAAGGTTTTGCCTTTTGCTTGAAGTAAAACGAAAAATGAAATACCCTCGTTCTTCTCAAAAAGGGGTTGCTTTGGGTCCCTTATGGTATTCTTAAGGGTACAGACACAAGGTGCGCGATGGTACATGTAGACTATCCTTACAGTTAGCGCCCGCAATTAAGAAACGCTTATTTCAGGTCCAGCCTCGAATTCTTATTGTGGGCTATAAACTCAGCGTATGTCGTTATGTTTCCTATATCATGTTTCTTATTTTTTCGTGCAGCCAAATCCTGCTGAATTTCTTAAGTCGGCAATTTCTTATTTCTCTGCTTTCCTCGCCTCCCGTACTCAACCCCGATTCTCACTACCGACGGCTGCACGTAAGGCCACTCCCTAGAAGCGAAATGTATTCAACGGCAACGTCTTGCTATCGCTACAAGGTCTTGTACGCCCCTCCTCATGAGTGAGGGCTGAAACTAAACAAATGCATGAACACCGCATGATGCCTCACCCGCACGCTGACATGCCAACAACGAAAATCAGAGCTTTAGCGCCAGCAGAGCAGAGCGCAGAGCCCGCAGGGGGCCGGAGGGGGCGCCGCAAAAAAAAACACTTCCCCCCTCGGCGTACCAACTAATAATATTGCACTATGGGAGGGGGGGGGGGGGGGTAGGGGGAGAGGGGGAAAGAGCGAGAGAGCTGTAGGGTTTGTTTCTTATTCGACACACTCCCCCGTAACCCCTCGTTTCTTATGTAGTAGGGCAGCGGTCGCTGCTGTGTTTCTTATTGAGATATTTCTTATTGTGTGACTCAGATTGAGCCATGTTTCTTAACCCTATTTTCTTATTTTTCGTGAAAAGTGAGCCTCAATTTCTTAACAAAATATTTCTTAATTGCGGGCGCCAACTGTATGCCTACGACCCCCGGATACACTATTATACTGTGTAGCGATAGACAAAATTCGGCATCTCCCCAGTGGGAAGAAACGAAAAAAGTCGAATCCAGTCTTGCACGTGCAATCTTGTGTATCGGAACTATTTACGACAAGGAGTACGTCTTAAAAATATTAATATTTTAACAACACCTGTATTCGTATCTTTGGAGTTTGTGAATTGTGGGCGCGGAAACTGGAAGTAATCAGAGTGTCTGCCACGGATGGTACCCAGCTAGTAGCCGTATCCGCCAGGGAGAGGAGGTGGAACATGGAAGGGAGGTCGGAACGACTGGCACGAATGGCAAGACAAGACTCCAACAACAACAACTACAGCAGTACAAGAACAGCTACATGGACTGCTACTGCGGGAGGTTGTTCCCCTGCTCCTCCCTGCCGTGAGCAATAGTCTAGCTTCGTGGAGGCCCAGGCCGGTTTGATTGCTCATCTACGATGCACCCACATACGGATCGACGGTTGGCCCATCCGCATTTATTTACATGCTTGCAGGCAAAAGTTGATCTTCAACCTTCACAAAGATATTAATTTCGGAAGGGTGCAATATGTGACCCAGTAGAAGTGGAGGATGGGGGCCAGAGGGGCAGACGGCAGAGTCCAATGATGGGAGAAAAATAATAATAGTAAAAAAAAAATAGGCGAATGTGTTGATGTTGTATTCCCAAGTACATTATCATCATGCCCGACACCGCCGGAAAAAAAACGCGGCCTGTACCCTGTACCTTGTAGAAGGCCAGCGCGTGCAGCGCGATGGTCTTCCTCTCCTTGTCTTCAAACCTTAGCGTCCTTGCGGTCATGGACCCGATGGCATTGATTACGCTCTTCTTTTGCCTCTTCCATTCTAACCTCTTCTCGTCGTAGTCCTGAAGACAAAGGCAACAAACACGTCAACAGCAGTCGAAAACGTAAGAGACTCCACGAATCACTCTTCATACAATACATCGATGTATTCATGATGCCATGAAGAAAGAGAGAACAATGCAGTCAGCAAAGAGGAAACGGAGGAAACGGAGCAACTGTTGTGTAGTACCCACGTACGAAGACGGGAGTGTTCGATGAGCTGCGTGGATAGATGAGCCAACGGGTACGGCTGCAGCAGTAGCAGGCAGCAAGCACGCCAGCCGAAAGGACCGCATGTGTGTGTGTTTCGCCTGCCTGCCGCTGTGATATTGACTCTTTTGACGCACAGTATTTCTTGCATCATCGCAGCGTTGGCACTGCTGCTGTTGGCATGTACCGCCGTCTGCTGTATCCATAGATGGGCATGCACGATACAAGCCCGCACACTTCTGTGAAGAGCAAGACCACATGAGGAGGTCCCGCCCCAACAAGACCTCTGCTGGTATGCATCACAGCCACCCAGCTGGGTGTTGCCAGCATTTTTTGAGGGCCTGCGGACCTCGCGTGTGATCGGTGTGGTGGGACGCAAAGGCAGATCGGGTGAGGGAACGGGTATGTGTGGGTGGCTGGAGCCAGGGGGGGAAATGCGTCCCTTTGCCGAAAAGGATCAACGGCATCCAGACCGGGTGAGCGGGCGGGTTACGCACACTCCACAGGGCGCGGGTTTGCTCTTCGGGCACACATGTCGTTGCCCTACCTTGATGGGCTCAGTCTGCCTGTGCTGTCCCTGCGGCCTGGTGTGTCTACCGCCGTGTTCCTACCGCTGTAGCGGTCTTCTACTCTCTCTCTCTTTCTCTACCGAATTAATTGTATCTCGCGCGCTCTACAGCAGCACATATGTACAGCAGCAGTACACTTTACTATATCTTGCCTGACGAAGCACCCGCGTAGAGGAGACCTTCCTCATCAGATCACCGTCTTCTTTTGCGCACAGGATCTCCAGGTAAGAGTTGGTGTCGGCCTCGAACCCGCTCTCGTCGATGATCCTCCTCTGCAGGAGACCCACCTCCTTGATGTATCTCACGAGGGAGCGAACCTGCGCGAGCTTGAAGGCGTCTGGCAACGAGCTCTCCTGGAGCTCTGCTATGCACTCCGACATCGTGCCCCCTGTTGCTCCTCCAACCCGCATCGGTCCTCCGACCCGCAACATCGTCGCACGCTGTCTGCCGCTACAGGCTGGCTACCGCTTGCTGTGTGTTCTAGGGAGGACTGCCTTTCTCTCTCGCCCCCATCTCCCTGTTGCCGTTGGATGATTTACAGGTTCTCCGGAGATCTGTCTGTCGTGCGGTTTCATCGGCAGTATTTGTTTCTTTGGTTTTTTTAGAAAGTAGTGTGAGGGGTTGGGCGCGAGGCGCGAGGCACAGCATGCATGTTAGTTACGAAGCAGGTCTGAGTTTTAGCGTGTGGAAGACGATGGCGAAGTGATGTAAGTCTGATGCGCCAACCAGGAGTCGTATCGTAGGTTTGATCTCTCACTAACGAGCTATCGAGTCGCGGACTTTGTACACTGAATCTGCAGGGGGAAACCAAACCCAAGCTCGTTCTGCGGTCGACACTCCGTTGCTCTTCTTGGAGTCTACATTTATTGTTCCTCTGTGGCCCCAGCGACGGCCGAACATACAAGCCACACATTACATGCATACAACATGAAGATGTGAAAATGATGTGCAGAACAAACCTGACGTCTATGTTGATAGAGTGTAGATCAAACGGGATGAACGCGTAGTCTACACGCCGATTTTGTTTCTATATGAGCCTCGTCAACAGTTCTTAGACACCCCCCATAGAAAGACTACCCATTCGAGATATACCCACAGTCGAACGGGATGTGGTGGAGTCTTTTCAGTGAGTGGAGGGAAACCGGCTGGGTACTGGACTTATTTCGAGTCTTTTTAAGTCTATACACTGATGATTTATACCAGTGATGCCAGCTGGTGCTAGTCTAATAACCTTGGATCCAGGCTCAAGAAGCCTGCACAAGGCCTATTTCAGATTTTGTCGTTGTGCGGTTGCCACACAAAGTACATAAATAACGAGCCTCGGGTGAAAAAATGAGACATACATGATGTGAGAAGTACTGTAATAGTCGGGGAGTTGGCACCGGGTGCGATCGTTTTTTTAAATGCTTTTTCCTCGGGTTTTTCATCGTACCCCGGTGCCATCTCTCCAACCGGTGCCATCTCTCCGACGCCGGTGCGGAAATAAATGCATTCATATCATTTCGTTTACAATTTTCAAGGCACCCCGGTGCGATCTCTCCGACCGGTGACATACCAATAAAATACACCTAGACAGACAGGTGTTGTATGCACGCACCCCGGTACCATCTCCCCGACCGATACGATAGTATTGATACCAGTGTGGGCAACCCGCACACACGGTCTTCTTCACACGCTAGTTGACGTGCGTGTAGGTACCGTTGTTGCTGGTTGGAAGCACACCGGTAACGGCAACGCAGGCTGGTACGTTGCAGCTTTCTTCTATGCAGTGAGTGGTCTTGTGTTTGATGCGAGTTTGGCTATGGCGTGATAACAACAAACTGTGTCGTTTCCATCTGAGGTGGTACCAGTACACACGGTATCAATTGTTTGCTTCCGGCTTTCGTTTCGGTCTTCTTCTGCGGATACCAGTACGTACGCAGCAGTACGAACAGTTTCGGGTTGTGTAACGTGGGGTAGGGTGCGGCTTGTGTGTTGCGTGTTTGGTTGAGTGTACGGTTGGCAACCTCCATACCAATCAATAAAATTAATACAACGGGCATCCCGCGTGAACCGCGACCATCCAATCGTACGTAAAGGAGTGGCTCTCCGCTGACACCGTTCCCACACGTAAAAGGTACACACATGTGTCTCATTCCGGCAGCTGAAAAGGAGCTCAATCTTGGATTTCGGGGTCGGAGAGATCGCACTCGGTGTGATCTCACCGACCCCGGTGCGTAAATCGAATTAAACGTTCTCGGGTTTTTTATCGCACCCCGGTGCCATCTCTCCGACCGGTGCCATCTCTCCGGCCGGTGCCATCTCTCCGACTATTACGGTAGTCTACCTTTCTTATTTACATCTGCGGGGGGAAGAAAAAATAGAAAACATACGGCTGTACCGACACGACCGATCGCGACGTATTCTCACTACCTGCAACAAAGCTGTTTCAAAACATGCCAAGATAGTTCAAGCCATTGATCCATCCCGGTGCGAAGGAAACCTCACATCGCACATATGTACAGCCAGGTTTCCTGAGGATTCAATCGGGAAAGAAAAAACAAAAAAACGCGCAACCCAAAACCGGAACTTTGTGGAGGTGGGGGGTGGGCACCAAAAGCCAATCAATGTGAATGTGCAGTGTCGCACGACACCAACTGAACTCTGGAACCTAGAGATCAAGTGGTGGACACTCACGTTCATTTGTCGGCAGCCCTCTAACGTAGATATCAACTACCTCCTGAAACAGTCTAAACCCCACCTGCCGCCGGTCTGGCTCGACGTTTTTCGACAGGGGCAACTACTGGAGAAAAACATCGAGATATTTCTGAGAGCACCCAAAACGATATATCGAATGTAGCCAGCACTTCAAATCAGAGCAAACGTGTCATGATGCACGTAAGGGCCTACGGAGAAGATAAAGAGCGGAACGTGTATTGCGACGGTCAACAACAGAAAACGAATCGTGTGCACGTCGCAAAGGCCCGCAACGCGGTTTCTCGATTCCTTCCGTTTGTATTTCCATGGTCGGTCGTTGTCTCCAAGTTTTCCGCCCCGAGTCAGAGGTATGTGTCTCGATTGCTGGTCCCCGCGGACCCTTGGTTTGTCCACAAATGTCAACAATCGAATGAAGACGCCATGCTATGTTATGAGGCGGGTGCTCCTCCCCGATCTTCCGGGCGGGGACAGAACAGGGGCGTCCCCGCTATTCTTACGCGAATCGGTTCCTCCCCTGTGCTGTCCTGGCAAACCCCGAACCCGGGGTAGGATGGGTACACCGCGATAACCTTAACGCATGGTAGTTGACGAAAGGATAGGCCGCAGGAGGCAAGAGAGGTGCAGACGGCAAGGGTAACGCGCCGGAGGCAAAGGGCGGTCGGTCAGGGAACAGGAGATTGGTTGACAAGAAGATAGGCAGCACTTTTCTATCATATGGCGGAGTTAATGCTTCCTAGACTGCCGTGAGGGTGTGGCCGGTCGTAGAAACAAAGCCGGCCTGCGCAGTAGTGAATCCCTGTAAGCGGTGCCGAGACCAAATCCCTCGACACTTACCGGAAAACCGACGGGAGAGGAAGAATAAAGCTACACGTACACAAGCAGCCCTTCGGACTGGTGTCGATTTCGCACCGCACGGCGTCGTACAACACACGCACGCATCCACCAAAGGGTACCACTATTTACGACACTTGCCATCAACAACAAAAAATGTTGACGAACCTCTTCTCCTTACCGCGTCGTGGTGGTCGCAGATTAAGGCCACTTCGTCCCTGCGGTGTAACGGCACCCCTTGCCCGCGAAGGAAATCCTTGAGCTTCGCGGGCCTATCGCGCCATGCTGGCCGAAAGCGATCTCCATCCTTTTTTCGCCTTCGAAAGGGCAAGATTATTGCAAATGGGGTGTCGCCATGGGCAAAGGGAGAGGCGTATGTACGGAGAGGAGGTCGCGAGAGACGGCAACACCAAGTCTTGCTGCTGCGTTTCGTCATGCCGGGACGGTGAAAAAATGTGCCAACACGAAAACCAAACGAAACATTAAATCACCGAACGGACACAACGGTCCGGTGCGAACAGTGAAAGTTCTCTACATGTCGCCAAGAGACAAGAGACATGAAGGACTCCGCCCAAGAAAAGGTGGTGCGCCATGTCGAAAGTGCTGAAGGATGAACGATGAAAACGCTCTGACGAAAGAAAGCAACGAACACACATAAGTTTTCCATTCTTCTTTCTGCCCACACTTTGGTGTGAAGATAAACAATCTACACCAACCTTATACACGGCCTGAGCTTGGTTCTCTCTCTCGCACCTCAACACACGCCCAGAACACCTCCACGCTCACAAAACCGCCGCTCGCTCACCTGACGTGCAGCCGCGCCCCCGCAGCCACGTTGAAGAGCACCATCCCCGCTTCAGTCGCCCTTCCCTCCCCATGGCCACTATCACCCTCTTCACCCAACCCAACGCTACCTCCCTCCCCCCAAGGGCTGACCACCATCTCCCACGGTGTGATGGCTGCATCCGTGGAGTGTCGCACTATGCCTTGCTCCGAGACTGTCCTGCCTTCGAGGCCCGATACCATGATTCCGCCGTCCGCAGGGCTCTGCTCTATGCGGAGCAAGTCGCCTGCGTGTTCGGGGAACGTTGCCCGAGCGCACGACACATAGATAGTGGGGGGGCCTCAGTATTGCCGGTTGAATATTGCCGGTGCCCGCTATAGTGCCGATGAAATTTCTCTACACAGACAGAACCCGCGGCAGTGCCGGTACCGGCACTACTCTGTGAGACGCCGTCAATAGTGCCGGTTTAGCCCCACTGAAAATTGAAAACCTCAACACAGTGCCGCTTCGGCAGTTTTCACACCACACACACACACATCCGTAGCGAGAGAGGCACAAAAGTGTACCGTTGGAGCCCTATAGCTTCCGACGCAGAGGCACAAGATGCCGTGTGCTGCGGGTGATGAACTGTAACTGTCTCTTGTGCTTGTTTGTTGGTGTCTATTTACCCTACCCTCTGCCCGCGTGCTTGATTGTAGATCGAAGATGTTATAAATAGTACATTTTTATTGTTCAGGTCAAGAGGTGCTCCTTTACTTTGTGTGGGAACAAACTGCATGTGCTCCAGGTCAGCCAACTTTGTGCCTTCAGGAGGGCTTGTCAATTAGCTTGGTAGTGGGGGAAAGGTAGAGCGATACTTGTACATATCGCACCGTGCCACAACGTGCCACAACTTTGGAGTTCCAAGTCGTTGATTGCAGCAGAAATGGCAACCCGCAACGAAATACGTGCGTGCCGCGAAACATTTTTCTTCTGAGGCCCCTCGGTTTACTTCACCAGCTCTCTAAGTGCCGGTTATAGTGCAGGTCCCTCTGAATAGTGCCGGTGTGCTGGTCTGGTCCATACCGGCACTACTGAGGGCCCCCCACCGTTGTATGTAATGCGACGTGGGGGGTAGTAGGTCGGGTACCAGACAGGGCAATAACATGCAGTCGTCATGATCTACGACGCTCAGCTCTGTCGTTGTGGCAGAGCCCGCCCGTGGTCGAAATATGAAGACGTGTTTTGACACTATATTGTACCAAGAGGGGGAAGAACGGGGATGCGAATGATGGATGGGTCGACAGAAAATAAGACAAACCTGTGCAATTGTTGTGACTGAGAGGTGAGCACGGCGGGGCGATGGGACGAGAAGCAAACTCTGAATAATATCTTGGGTTAGTGACCACGGGACGGCATGCTCAAATTGGGGCAAACACAGCGGTATAGGAGCAACACTTGATTTAGAAAGAAACGCAGGCAACGACGATGACCCCGATGTACGACATCAACATCATTGTCAAGAAGAACAACAATGACGACCACGACGACGGCGACGATAACAATAGCAATAACCGACAGTGATTCCACACACAACTACACTTTCCCAGTAAGAACAGCTACGAGAGATGTGCAACCTGCTACAACATGGGGGCGGCATGGGGCCAGTCCTAGCCAGCAGCCGCGAACGTTTCATCGCCCAGCGAAAAAAAAGAGACGCGGCAGAATTCCGCCTCGTCCTTCTGGAAAACCGCATGCAGGCCTTCACGCAGCCTCACCTACTCGACGCAAGTAGTAGCCACCTCCTAGTGAAATCGACCACTTCCTGTCGCCCCCATCCACTTGCCGCATCAGGAGCCGCAGGTTTGCATAGGACAACGGCGAGTTGCCGGTATTTGCTGCGATACCATGTCCGAGACGGTGTCGCAGGAGCAGCAGTGGGACCACGAGCGAGGGGCGGTGGGGGGGGGCTTGAGTGCCGCGTTTGGTAGACGTAAAACGCGCCAAGAAGGATGAAAAGATTGTCGACGTGCTTTATACGCACGTTCTCAAGCAACCCATATTCTCAAGAAAGCTTTTCGGGTGGGTGTCTAGGATCGATCAAACAGTAGAGGTGCCACCAACCCTTGCGGGAAAACGCTCGGGAGACAACTTGGACGTTTCCGTTCGAAGGCAAAGACAGGCGCATGTCGCGCACCCTGGATACCGGTTGCTCGCGGGGGCACGCAACACCACGCACTACGTTTCACGTGCTGGGCATCATCTTGGCTTCCGGCCATCGAAGAGCTACGACACTGCCAAAGCCCGGGCCTTCGAAACTTGAAAACCAAACCACCGGCAATGGGCTATTGCGAGGCAACCGCAAATCAGGCGCGTACGTTCCGCGTTTGACCTGGATTTGCGTCGCCATCAACACTTACTCGAGCTTTGACTAACCTCCTACCAAAGCTGAGATTTACTCGCGGAGCACATAGCGTGATCAAAGTCGGTGCTGCCGTGACTCGTTAGCTCACCCACGATGAACCGATGCAGCAGCTCCTCTCTGACCAGCTCGGGCAAGTCAGACCCTGCCCACCCTTGCTCACTACCATCTCCTCCCGGCCCCTTCCTCAAGAACGCCTGCAGCGGGAACTCCTCTCGCCTTATCCCCGACGGCGCCACGTCCCCGACCCCTCCGGATCGATCAACCGTTCCCCTGGTACCTGCTGATTGGTCAGCCCCTCCGACCTGGTCAGTCTCATCCCTACAACCCCCCGCTTCGTCGTCGAAACGGCACCCTGACAAGTGCGCCCTTTCCCAGCGCAACGCCTCCCGCTCTACCATCTGCCTAGCAAAGTGGCTTTGGCGGGAGAGCTCCTCGACGCGGGTGTCGAGGGCCTTGGTCCCGCCCGCGAGCTCCCGCAGGAGAGGGATCAACTGGAGCCTGCAACGGGACGGCCGGGAACAGATAGCGCCCGCGCTCAAAAACCTCTATTATGGTGTTGACTGAGGCTGGGGTTCGTAGTTCCTCGTTTGGGCCATAAATGGTCGCTACAGCAGTGGCGGCTACGGTTTAAGAGAGGGTCGCGACAAGCCAGTATTTCTCTCTTAAAAAATCCGTTCTTGTCTCTTAAAAACCGTACTGTGAAATGTACGTATTTCTCATGGTCGTGACAAGCCAGTTTGACTCTCTTAAATCCGTGATTTCTCTTAATAGTCTCTCTAAAAACCGTAGCCGCCACTGCACATAGGTTTTGGTGATGGGGTTCTTCACCGGGCTCATAAACGGTGCTCACGTTCCTATGTGCGGTATAATGTTGAGCATAAAGTTCTTGGGTGTCACGTTCTCAACCAAGTACGGGCGCTACATATCTGTAACGGGATTGCACGCAAAATAGCTTTGCGAGAAACGCGGGGGGTACGAGCGTAGGGTCGTCATGTCATACGGTTCTCCGCTAAAGAAAAGGGACAAGCCGTGGCGTGTGAAAAGCGCAGGAAGCGGTGAGCAAGCACAAGGATTGGTGGGGCAGACGGGGTGGAACGTACGGGAATACAAGTGAAGAGCAGTTCGGAGCGTGAGAAAAGCTTGGCGGGGATGGCGGGGGGGGGCGGGGGGGAGAATTTGCTTTCCGAAGGAGAAAGCTTCTGTCACAAGACAGACAGAGAGGAGAGTGAGAAACGCGCTGTCGAAAGAGCTGCGCGCGCTACGGAGAACAAGGGCGGTGATGGCACACTGGGGACGGGCGCAAAGATACTTGTGCGACGTTCTATTCACTACAAACGAACGAAGACCTCGTTGAAGTCTGCGGACGCAATAGCGACGCTGCCACACGTGCCACAGGAAAACGAGAAAGTTGGGTGCAGACAAGGGGGTCGGTCCTGCAACAGGACAGCTGGCCGAAGTCAGCACGACAAGCGAAGCAACGCCGAGCAAAAGACGCAAGAAACACGCAACCTTGGCCTACTCAATGACAACGACGACAACATCAACATGGGCGGAAAAAACGAGCCAACAGCATCAGAGACGCACGCACAGCAACACGATGTATACACAATAGAGGCAACAGCAGTGTCTACCCGCTGTCGGATCAACAGGTGTCTGCCTTCTCACCGAACGCGATTCCTGGCGTACTTCGCCACCTGGTTGCTCCCGTCTTCTCTCCAGGCATGCCTCCCCCGGACCAAAAAGTCCAAGAGTTCCGTTTTGTGGGCCCCCAGCAACGGCCGCACAAAAGGATCCGAGTGCCACGCCATGCCCTACGCAGTCGCAAGTCGTACATATCGAAGTCAAGTGTCAGATATTGAACACGTGTAGTATTTGGTCGGGGGATTCGGTGGACGCCCAGGCCGACAGAAAGAGGAAGAACCCGCCGCGCTACGGATGTTGCCTGTGCGCAAAAGCATAGGCACAGCCTCCCGAGACAATCTGCCCTAGGCGACGAGACGATTCCGGTCTACCGCTGTACAGTCAGGGAGTACCTGTAGGAGACAGATGGAAGAAAATTCGCTTGCTATGGTGAACTACTCCCAAAGACGCGTTTTCGTACCGTGCCGAACAACATTCTTGCGCAGGAATTCACGAAAAAAATTGGAATTTCCGCCCCCGAGACCCAATAGTAGGTCCAGTTGTGATGGTTTGATCAGAACAATTTTTCCGCCATCTTCCCCTCCGAACACGCTACGTGCCCTGCACCAACGCGGAGTCAATACTCTGGGAGAAACAATTGTTCTTCCCCCGCTGCAGACGGACGCAAACATCACTAAGTCCTAGCCGCGGCCAGCCGGAAGATGAAAGGCGAAAGCGGACCGCGATTGAGGCGTGCGAAATACCCGCGGGGGAGAGATCCAATGGGCAATGGGTTAACCCTTTTGAGTCTTCAGGCGTTCTCACTGATCATTGATTGATCATTTGCAAATGCCGGTGTAGTGGCAAGTCGTGGAGTTGCCGCCCTGCAGCCCTTCGCGCCGTGTATTGGCAAGTCCATAGGTAGGTGTGTCTAGATTATTAGCACCCGCGCTAACCGGCTGACCAATGAAGAGACGTCAGTGACAGCGGGTAATATCAAGGTCTCGGGAATGGGAATGGGGCCAATCAATGCCAAATCATGAATCTCTCAATGTATGCACATGTCAATGAACGCGTGTGTGCATACAGTACATACATACATACATATGTGTTCTTTCGCAGCACCACACATACACTCGCCCGAACGTAGGAAGCCACTGCTGCAAAGAGCAGAGGACAGCCAAAGGGAGGGGTATTGCAGTCCCTGCCGAAGCCCAGATATCGAGGATATCGTGGTTCCCAACAATTTGAAAATCGTTCCCAAGATCCAGCAGTCATTGTGTCAACAGCTACAACGAACGCTACAACAACACTATTACTACTGCTGTAGACGAGTAAAACATATCAGCAACACATCCACACTCGTAGCGCCACACATACCACCCTCGCCCGAACCTAGGAAACCACGAGGTACAGGTGTGTGCTGGTGGATGTGCTTGTTGTTTGAAAAACACAGGAGCTCTAGAGAGTTGGCAGGGCACATTTCGGGGGGGGACAGAGAACAGAGAAGTACAGAAGTACAAATACCAGCTATGGGTCTTCACTGATCATTTTGCCCTCTCTGGACTGATCATTTACAATATACCGAAAATAGACTAGTTGAGGCAGCTAGACGACTGATCATTTCAAAGGCTACACAGCTAACCTGCCCTACTGACCGCAGCGCGACCACCCACCAACCCTTCTACGACCCTGTCTGTGGCCACCACCCTGTCGCCGGCTTCTCTCATGGCCTACAGGTGGAGATAGCTGTTGCGTGTGCAGAAGTACACTGGTGTCTTTCTCTGCACTTCTCTCTCTCCCGCTCGCTCTCGCTCTCATTTTTTTTTTTGGCGCAAAAAAAAAAATCTGACAGTCCAGCCTAGACCCAAAGGGGTTAAGCGCTGGGCGTTGATGTGCCGGCAAAAATGTAGGGGTTTCGAGCATTCTGTTTGGTATTGGATTGGATTTTGTTTGGTTCTGGTTTTAGGGTCAGCGAACGTTGTGTTGGTGCTGGATTTTGGTTTGGTTTTGGGGTCGGCTTTGGGGATTTGCAGGACGAGGACTGTTTTTCTTGAGGGTTCGACCGAATGAGCTTTGTTCGTTGGTTCCATGGTTCTGACCCCAAAACTTTCTAAAAGCAGGGGGGTGGATCTCCCGAAGAAGGCGGGTTGTTGTTCTTCAGAAGGAATTGTTTCTCTAACCGAACGATTAGTTGTTACGTAGAGTGAAGAAAAAATCAAGCATTCGCGGATAACCTGCGGAAATGATCTTGACAATGAACGAATATTTGGCATGATATTGCTTGATCAGAAATGTGAGGGTAGCATTCATGCCTAGGAGCGTTTTACCTGCGTACACTGGGCATTTTTGTAGTCCTGTTTTTGGGGGGCGGTTTGGGAGAATGTTTTCGACTGGATTGCTGGAACACGCCATGTGGTGATGCGGTTTGGCATCCATGTAGAGAGAGTTTGTCGGCACTACCGCACGGGGTATCGCCGCGACTAGAGGTAGTGGTAGAGGTTGTCGGCAATACCGCACGGCGTATCGCCGCGATTGAATAGATTTTGACGGCGCGATTAGTACCGCATCACCGCATGGTGTGTTCCAACAGTCCAAACAAAAACAAAAAACGGATCATCACGCGCCTGAACGGGCCTACGACCCCAGTAAGCGGCGGCGTGCAGCTGATGATGGCGCTGCTTCAGGGCTTGGATCGTGCAGGACGGAGGCCCTCGCCATGGGTAGCCTCTTCCTCTGGTTGGGGGTTGTCAGCCGTGCGGGCCGCTGCTGATCTGTGGTAATAATCTCTGGCTGACAATATTCCTAGTCGTCCTCCACAAAGTCGTTGAACGCTAGCGTGTTAGGCAAACCATGGAGGCCAAATCTTAAGCCTGTGTGTGTGTGTAGGGAGGCATCCCGGCCAGTTAGGGCCGAGATGGGAATGTCTTGTACTAGAGGGTAGTGAAGACCGAGGAGTCCCGCCACGAGAGTGAGTGCATCGCCACATCCATGTGTTACGCAATTCAGCTCACTAATCGAATCTCCGAGAAGTCGAAGTAGAATATCCCTGTTCTCTCAACTACATTCTCCGTAGGTCAATGCCCCATATTCAACCATCATACAGTATGAGTATGTCGAACAGCAAGCACTCAACTTCCAAACCATCACTGATGCCATGTTTGCGAACATCCCGAAACTTTATGGTTTGGGGAACAGGCGCGTTGAAGAGATTGCAGCCCCTCGCCGGTCTCTGAAGCATCGGCGCACCTGAATGTTGGTGATATGCGCCCCCCGGAGGGCCTTGAGCAAGACCGTCTCGGTCTGATCATCCTTGTGGTGGGCCGTCGCGATCACCCCCCTCCCACCTCGCCCTGCCCCCGCCTCGGTCATGCTCTTGGCGAGGATGTCTTTGGCTTCGGCACGCCTCCATCGCCTCGCCCTCTCCTGCATACCCGACCCTGGTCCGCCCGTGCCCCCCTCTTCCGGTCCTGCAGATTCAACGAAAAACATATATCCGTACGAGAAAGAACGTTCGGCAAAAAAAAATAACGTTAGGTACGAAAATAGAACAAGCGACCTCTAGTCAGAAGCACCTTTGCCCCCCTCTTCCGATCCTGCAGGTTAAAATAAAACCAAGCATCGGCATATGTGAAATAACAAGCGACCTTGAGTCAATACTTTTCTGAAACTTTCGTTCCCGTTGGCCTCAGAAAATTTAAGGTGGGACGAAGATGCGGGTCCATTACCCGACCCCCATTGTTCGGTGTGCCAAGAACTTACACTACAGATAACACCAGCGACCACCCGGCCTTTGATGGGCCCGTGGCAGATTTCCCCCCTGTCACATCCCGCCCATTTCTTTCGAGAAACCCACCACACCGCGAAACTCGTGCTTGCCCTCTTGCCGTGCGACTATCCGCCCGCGTGTCTAGAACAAGGAAGAGAAGAGGGGTATGCACAATGTGCTCCTTCAGTATCCTGGGTGACACAAGAAGTCGCACCCCCTTGACCGATCTTCAAGGGTCGACTGCTCCACAGCAGAACGAGCGGCGGTGCCGAAACGGCGGCGTTGGCACCGTCTCGTCGAGAACAGTTAAAAAAACGTATCGTTTGATGAGAAAAATTCCCTCTTCGTTGTGGAGTAGTCGAGTTGTGAAAATCGGTCCGGGAGGTGTGATGTCTCCTGTCACGTACGGTACTCGTACCTTTCCAGCGCCTAACGTGCAAGGGCACCCGGAGGCTGTCTGCCATTTTCACCACCAAGTCTTGGTCGGCGTCTGAGTCTTTTCCCCGAAGACCGTGGTTGAAATGCGCCGCTTCTACCCGGAGGGGCGGCTGGAAGGTCTTCGCGGCTCGTTCAAGGGCGAGGAGGAGAGCAACGGAGTCGCTTCCGCCGCTGACAAGCACAAGAACCTGAGGTCATCGTCGCCCCGAGGCGTGTCGAGCAACGGGAGCCGGGGGGAAAGGTGCAGGCACTGTCGTACCTTTGTCGTGCCCTACATGCAGGAACGCCGTATTTTAAAGTCCGAAGTGTGACCGCGGGACTGCTAGCTATGTAGCGAGGATGGCTACCTGAAAGAAGCAAACCGGAGCTTGGAGCTGGTTTGGTTCGCGATCTGGGCACTTGTCCATCACAGGATGGATTCAACGCTACTATGTCCCCGATAAAACCCAATACTGAAACACGAGCAATGACAAGGATCCCCACGCCGTTTCGTCCAATCACACACACGGAACGAAAAACACGCACCAAATCGCCACCGCACACGGTGCAGCGCTGTTCCAGAGCCGAAGCTACTCGCTCCACCAACGGCTCTATCTCCAAACCGACGGCCATCGAAGTACTGAGGTCTTCTCCATCGTCTTCTTTGCCGACAAACTTTCCTTCCGCTCGTGCCTTGTCTCTGGTCGTAACAGTAGCGCCGGCAGTGCTAGTTTCCCTCGCTTCTTCTTGTGCCTCGCAGCCGCTGGTGTTGCTGCTCCTGCTGCTGCTTCTGCGGCTGCTTGAGCAGCGCATGCCGTCGCTAAAGCATCCACCGCTGTAGCGGACAGCGGCGGTTGTCGCCGATTGCACGTGTCGATACCAGGGAGACTCTGTTGCGCACAGCCCGCCACTCGATGATCGCCAAGCGGTTGTAGCAACTGATGCGGGGGGTTCTAGCGCGGGTGGGCAGAAAGATGATAAGCCTAGGGCGATGGTACTGGAGCTCCGGCGTGGTGCTTGACGTGGCCGCTGCCGGCCACCCCAAAACGCCGGTGACGATAGGGGTTGCTGCAGGGTGTTGACCATGAAGCACGGCCGGTGGTGGATGCAGCGCCCGGCGAGGGCGACCGGGTAGGCCTTCCGTTGCGATAAGAAGGAGAAGTTGATACACAACAAGGCGACCGAGGTATAAGGGTGAGCGATGTCGCCTGCCGTCCGCGAGCTACTGTTAGGCAACGGTTGATGCAACTTGCCATACAATACACTCCTGTTGTTGGGCAGCTGTAGCTGCTGGTACGGCTGGTGGAGAGGAAGAGAGATTCCAACAAGCCAAGAGATATCTGGGTACACAACAGTAAGAGTCGAGTCCAGTATCCAGCATAGTTTCCCTCAATCTTCACAGTATATGTATGCTTCAACACACCCCCTTGAGAATTTGGCAGTCCTCTCGTGGAGGCTGTACAGTCTACTGCTTGCACCAGGCGTTTTTGGGCACCAACAACCTAGTTTTGATAGCTGGCGAGTCGGCCTACTTACAGTGGAAAGGTCAGTGCACAAGCAAGTCAGGTTTCCCCCGCGAGACAAACGATGAGAGGCTCCGAAAACGCTCCAGCACTTTGACACGCCTGGTGTTCACAAGTTACTTCCCGACTAACAACTCAAGAAGACACCACCACCAATTCCGCCGCATTTTGTTTGTTTGGTGCTTGGTGTTTTGACCGCGTTATTTGTGCTCAGGAACTTGTCAGCAATATCACGCACACAACCCACAGAGAGTATAGGCAATGATACATGCCGAACTGCAACAATCAATTGCCAGAAATCGGCGCGTTTTGCGGACGAACCAAGCCAAGCGATAAATTCATTAAATTCAAAGTTCAAAGCTGTCCAACAGGCCAACAGGAGACAGCAGTCTGTACGTCTGTCCTGCTGTAGCCTCGATGGACTACAGCAGTACCCGCGATCTACATGTCTCACCTCTTTTCCTGCGACCGCCACAACCCATGCCATCAACACCAACACTTGCACGTACGTGTACAGGACCGCACTTGTCGATGGAGTGGTTGGCGCTGCTTCCATACCGGAGCAAAGGTCGTGCGTTTGTTGTGTGTGCACGATCCACGACCCGTGTGTCTGTCGCTTGGTGAAGCTAGCGGGGGTGCTTTCAACAGTCCCGCGTTGGTCCCGCCGCATATGTAACGAACCAGCTGGTCAAACACATCGCTCGACCGCCCTTGACCTGCAAGCCTGCGAGTTTGGCAGTCTTTCTGTGTGTGTATTTATTTTTCCTTAATGGTATTCTAATGAGGGGGAAATCCAGAGGGGATGGAAACGGGTGCCTGATACTTTACCTCGCATCTGCGGTTGTTACAATTTTTTCCACCTCGAGCTCCAAATAGTGTTGTGTACAGTAGTGGCGGCTACGAGACTTTTAAAGAGAAAAAGTACCGATTTAAGAGAGAGTCAAACTGGCTTGTCACGACCATGAGAAATAAACACATTTCACAATACGGTTAAGGGAGAAAACCAGATTTAAGAGAGAAATACTGGCTTGTCACGACCCTCTCTTAAACCGTAGCCGCCATTGTATCAGGAAATTAACCATCCATCCATCCATGTGTCAACGCCGAGAATGAACATTATTTTCTTCAGTTCGAACCACATGCAATGCATGCATGCTTTGATAACTGTGGGGTGAAGGTGCCGTAGCCAGTAGCCAGTAGGTCGCACGTAGTGTTCTTTTCTCGGGAGACGGGCAGGAGGCGGGGAAAGAGGCGAATAGTAGGTCGCAGGCCGTGGGTCGCGAAGTAATATATATAGTCTATGTCCGTTGTTTTCATCAGAGAGCGAGCGGTATAGAGAGAGTCAGAGGTGGGTTGCTGTGGGGGAGAAGAAGTAGTGCGTTTTGCGTCTTCTTGTTCTTTCTCGTCGTTCAGATGAAAAAATGCAGATTTCACGCGTCATCCTCTTCTCTTTGATTCCCTTTGTGATCCATCTCCCTGTTGAGTCTTTGGCGAGCCTGATTATCACAGCATCGGGTAGCAGTAACGCCGTCATGTGCGTGCGTGGTCCTGCAATCGTGAGGGGGGGTACTGAATGATGATCATCGGTTCATATACCCCAAATATATATACACCCCTTAAGTCTAGTCTATATACATACATACATACCCAGACATATCAGACATCACCTAGAATATATACCCCAACATATACCAACATATATACCCCATAGCATCAATATCCGAACCTGTTCTGAAAATTCCTCAAATAAAAAGAATATATATATATATATATATCAGGAAATATCCATATATATATATATATATATATGTTTCCAGCGGAGCAGCTGGGAGGGTACATATATATCAATATTCATTCATATATATACATACATACATACCCCCTCTAAATTTCCTGATACACAATAATAGCTCCAATATAGTGGGTCCGTCCATTGGTGCATGGATATTTGTTTTCATGTTGTCATGGGTTCCAACACAACGCCCAGAGAGCTCGCGAAGGCACTACTGCTGTAAGTAGTTGAGAGGGGTCACACTTCGTTTAAGCCGTGGAGACTGCGATTTGAGAGAGAGGGGGGGCGGTTGACGGTTGATTAAGAGAAGAACCAGCCGGTTCATTGCGGGACCAAATGTGTACTCTCCACACCTACCTCCTGTTGGATCGCGAGGGATCCGTGCATTCAAATCCTGAAACATTAGCTTTGCGTGGTAGTAAATAGAGGTTATTTACCTTGCTCACCGAAACTCTCAGCTCCATTCCATTTGCACTCTGGTCTACGTGCCACATAACCCTGGTCGTATCCGGTGCGCCCCCCCCACGTTTTGGCGCCCTTTGACGCCCGACGCTCCCCCTACGCTCCTACCACTATATATACTCCTCCTCCTACTACTACTGCTGCTGTCATCGCTCGTCACGTTGCGGTAGGCTGCGGTAGACCTGTTGTTCAATGTTGCGTTCCCCCCTCCCCAGTACTAGGAGCAGCAGTAAGCAGCCGTCCGTCGCGTCAGGGTTTAGCTTTACCCCAACAGAGAGAAATGCTGATGCATTCAGGCCTGCCTGTTTTGGGAGCGGAGGCAAGTACAAAGTAGGCTGTACAATAAGCTACAGCAGCAGCCAGTACACAGCGATTCTGGAGTATTTATTCATACATCATCATCTGGTATTTTTTCTCAGCCAGGTTTACAGAATAATCGCCAATCTTGGCACCTAGCAGGCAGAATGAATGTGGAAAAATGCTCTTGCGTTGTTTGGATCTATCTTTGTCGGTCGGTTCCACCGGTTAAATCAGTGTCGTCGCGCTGAACAGCAAATAATAAGTGCCTTGGGGGGTGTCCATGTTGCTAACGTGAAAACATCCGCACTCTTCGACCGAGTGATTATTTATGTAGACTTATCAAAAGTCATTGCCACGCATGCATGATGTGGTATCGAGACCACCACGCACGCACGTGGTGCGCACGGATTGAACATCGACATCACCACGATCGGTTGATGCCAGCACAATTCGTCAAGAACGGAAAAAAATTGTTCGTGCAGTGAGTGTCTCGTGCGACTTTGTGTCTACTCCAGCTCCTGCTGTTGTAGTACCAGGAAGCTGTTGGTGCTACAATCAAGTTAACAAAGATTCCCGATCAAGAAACTTTTTTTTTTTTTTTCGAACGGCGATTCTAGGAAGACGCTCAAACTCTTCATTAACCGAATATTGTACATGGTGCTGCGGTGTAGACATCCTCGAACACTATGCTAGGCAGTGCAACACAGACAACAACCGTTCACGTACGGGCTGCTCACTAACATTATGTGTGCTACCATTGCTCGCAAAACGTGCGAGTGCGGTGTACCGCACTCATGCCGATAAAAAGCGCGCGGGATGCGGATGTCACACATACCAAAACGGCTTGAACCGACAGGAACACAAACAGATCTGAAAAGGTGCGCGGAAAGAGGTGACTATCTTTCATTTCCAAGGGCAACCTTCCTTCATTTCCAAGGGCAATCTGAGACTAAAAACATCACCGCGAAAAGTGAAACCAATCAGCACACACATTCATTCGTGTTTGGCATTCGGCCAGCCGCTCACGTGTATGTCTCTGTTACTGCTCTCGATCAGTCACAAACCTCTAGACTGCACATAAGCTAGCTCTACAACGGGTCGTGGATACCCATTCCATCATACCGAAGCTACGCCGACAACCCCCCACCAGAGCAAGCTTGAAGAGCCTCCTTCAACAAGATGACGAGACCAATCCAATTTCCACATGTGCGCGTGCCTGCCCCGCGCACGACCGTACATATGCATACCAGGCAGATAGGAGCAATGGTCGTGGGATACCCTATATTATGACCAGTATTAACAACACAAGATTCGCGGCCATTTGAAAAAAAAAGCGTAGCACGCGCTGCCTCCCTCTCCGCCTAACGCAATGAGTGGAATCCTGCTGGTTGAACCAATGTGACTACACATGTTTCTACGACACAGAAAAAAAAAAAACATGTACTAGGCTAAAAGTTGGACACAGCAAATGCAAACGCAAAAAAAAAACATCTACCAGGCTAAAAGTTGGACACAGCAAATGCAAAAAAAAACGCGTTTGTCTGTCGACAAAAAAAAAGTAATACCAGGCTAAAGTTGGACACAACAAAATGCTACAAGCAAAAAATATGTCTCACCCTTTGTCTCCTAGGCGTGCTGTGAAGACGGGACTGAAAAATGAGAGACGCACTCGATAGTTTAGAAAAACATTAAACATTAAACCCAACGACCATTCGCAAACACTCGACAATTAAAAGAGAGACAGACTGCTGTGTGGGGGATGCACGAGGAGATATTCCTCCTGTACAACAGAACTCAATGCGCTTTCTCGCCACAGGAACACTAGCAAGGGTGCCTCCGCCAAGAACAACGGCCTCAACGGCAGTCAATTCATTCAGGATTGATCAATTTTCGACAGCAAAAACACTACGACCCAGACAAACCCGACCCGACCCCACCCCACCCCACCCACCGTTCAACACTAAACCTACCACAGGCAACCACATACTATACTACCAACGACACGCCGCGATCACGTTGGCATGTACGTGTCTTGCGACCGCCTGATGCCCTTGCGCGCGCGCCGTGCATGCGGGAGCTGCTACCCACTGTACCTAGCTCCGCACGATTAAAACTCATACCCCCACCTCCCAAAAGATCCACACGCGAAAAACCGTGTGGAGAATCCATTAAAACTCGGGGTAATACAACACAGTTTGTCCCTCGAATGTAGGGGCATGTCAAAGGGGGCACAGATACAGACGCGCAGCTCGCAGGGGCACGGCCCGACGAACGTGCTACAGAGGCAGGCTTCATCTCACCCTTGTGTAGGGGAGCAACCCGGCCCAGTCAACATTCTTTCTAGTCTACCCCTAATAACGCAACAGCAGTGCTTGCTCATCATCGCTGCATAGGCACCGCGGTGAGACATCAACCCGTCCGTATGTTACAGCAACACCTTTGTGGAATTAATGTGGTACCCGACAACCCCTCTCGCCCTCGAACAAAGCTTTTATCAGCGAAGGCCGCCCACGCTTTAAGGGCGCAGGGTACAAGATAAGAGGGAGGCAGTCAAGCTTGCCGACAACACGTAGGCACAGACGTGGTGCTCGTGTTTCGTGAGCACACCCATTAATGGCACCAAACCGCAGTTCCTCCAGGAATATGACACGAGAATAGAGAGAGAGAGAGTAATGAGACGAGAAATCTACTAGCGCACGGGCTGCCATCACAATATGAACAACTACAGCATCGACAACCGACGGACAAGAACATCAACATATCAACAGAGGCAGGCGAGCAAAGAGAGTAAACGGCACATGCGAATGAATCTCCCCCCTGGAGGTGGGCCATAGCGGCCCCTCCGCTCTGCCCCGTGTGGTGTGGTTACTTTCTAAGTTACAACAAGATTACATCGACAGTTTGAGCTACAGGCAAACAACCTCGCCAGCAAAGACGATCGTCAACAGCCACAGCAACATCAAAATGGCACCACCGAAAGGCCTTGCAAGAGTAAACGGCACCGACACCGCCAGGTGCATTGCTACCGGCAATGGGCATGGACGGTGACGGCGACCCTTATCAACAGCGACCCCCTCCGGCCTCTTGGCGTTTATCACACCGCCCGCTGCTGCTGCTGCTGCTGCTGCTGCTCTCGCTGCCGCAGCCCTCAACCGCGACTCGATACACCCCCAAGTCTACCATCGCCGCCGCCTGCGCGCGCAGACAAGAAAAGTTCAGCGCGCACGACGTGACGTGCAGGTCGTCAGCCAACACAACGAAACACATGAAACAGCAGTCTCGCACGCGTAGGGGGTACTATTGCATGCAGAACAAAGTCATGGTCAAGCACGTCAACCGCGTATCTCTACACGAACCCGGCCTGACCTGCTCGTTCATCCTTGCTCCCAGTCCTTCCCGACTCTCCATTACCCACGCCGCTCCTCGACTTGCTACGCGACCGCAGCGCGCCCATCACCCCCCCCGAGCCACCCCCCGGTCCTCCTCTATCGCGCCGCTCTCGATGATTTCGGCCGCCAGAAGACGACTTCCTCGCCCCTTCCCCGCTCCCGCGCCCCATGCCCTCGTCGGCCATCGGCACCGTTATGCTCATCGGCTCGGCACGCAAGGGCGCGTGTTCAACCGGCCGCAGCGCGGTCTGCTGCAGTCCGGGCATGGACGACGACGACGACGAAAGGCCCTTAACGCTGTCGGAGGCGGGGCTGTTCATCGCCAGGGTCCCGTCATTGCCCCCCCCCCCTCGGTGCTGCGCGTGTACGCCGTCTCCCGAGGCAGAGCGGGGGAGGTTGGTGCCCACGTTGTTGGCGGAGCTCGCGCTGCCAGAGGCTGCGATGCTCCGTGCGCCGCTGCCGCCGCTACCGCCTGCAGCGGCAACGCTGCCACCGCGAGATTCATAGGCCTTCATTCCGGCAGCACCGGTCCCTGCTGTTGCTGCTGCTTCTGCTGCTGCTGCTGTCTCAGAGCCCGAGGACTCTGCGCTGCGTGCCGTCGCTTCCGGCGTGGCTGTCCCGCTTGCCCTGCTGCGGAATTTCAAACAGAGAGCATACGGCGTAGCGGTCTGCTTGATGCAATATACTACGGTACGCGTGGACTAGGCGTAGCATACTTCTCGCTTTAGCAACCCTTGGTTTGCTGATGGATGAGACCGCCGCGTGCGATGGGTATTTGATCGGGTCCTAAACATATAGCGCGTGCGACTGGCGCTGTTGTGCAGTGCTAAGCAGCTCACAATGAACACTCGAGTACTGTACCGCGCGGCACCGGGTAGCACCCCGAAGACCGGGTACAGTATCTCCCTCGTAAACCGAAGCAAGACAGCAAACCAAAGGGCCTGTGCTATAAAGCGGGCACGCAATCGTCATGTTCCATGCTAGATTACCAAACAAGACGCACTTTGCAAAACGTGGCGAACAAAACAACCGAACACCTTGGAACACCAGGCGACAAACAAAAAAACAAGCCGCCTTCCAATGCACAGCAGAGGGCATACTATGAAAACTCTCACCCATGCCGCGCTCTGCCACACTTCATGAAACGGCTCACTCGCCGAAACCACCCGCCGCCGCCGCCGCCGCCGCCGCCTCCACCACCGCCATCGGCCGCCTTGCCGCTGCCGACCTCGTTCGACACCGGAGTAGCAACAACACGGTCGTCGCCTGATTGGCGACTGTGTCCGGGCGCCATGGTAGGCTCTTCTGCTGTCGGTGGCACCGCTACCGCCGAGAGTTGCTGCTTCGCGGCACCACCGCCGCAACACCAGGCCGAGGGCTGTTTCGGGATGTAGCTCTTGAGCAATTTTTGCATCGGGACATCACCCTGAGAACAAACGCGCAGCAGGGAGGGTGACGACGAGAGGGCTAATGAGCGGTGGCGGGGGAGGTGGCCGTGAATTGCACGCGACGACCAGACACGAGCAGCAGCAGTATCTGCACAGAGCAGCTGACACCCATGTTGAGGGAGAAAAATCACAGCCAAGGGAACCAACTGCTACTGCTCTTGAACAAGAGCAGAAAACACGCCGTTACCGTTCTCCCAGCTGGCGATCGTGTACATATGGAAGGCACCCTGCTTTAGGCAGGTACACCCCTGTCCTATCCTCCTTTCCTGAGACGGGTGTGTTACGGGAAACGCAAACATCAACGACTAAAGCGGCCTGAACGTTACAGCTCTTGTCTGATCTAGCACAACCCTGGATCTCAGAAAAACACACAGAAGTGACACATACGGACGGTGCAGCGGTAGCCGCAGTCTTACAAGTTCTTTCGCGAACACCACCGCCGTCTTCCCCTCAGCATCCGTGGCCGAGCACAACTCAGCGGGGGAAGGGACCGGCCCGTCCACTCCCTCCTCATCCTCAGTGCAGCCTTCCGACCACTCCAGGATTGCTTCCGCCACCTGCAGTGAAACGTCACGATAACCATTGAAAATACCCGCGGCAAGAAGGCGGGCGCGGAATCAAAAATAAGCACGCCTTGATGACAGGTAGGCCAGAGGACAAGCGTATTACTGTGTTCCTGCACTGCACAACAAAATTAACTAGCAAAACGTATCAGCCACAGGTCGCTGGGCATTTCTCGGTGATCATCTCATGGCGTGAAATACTGTTCTGACAGTCAGCCCAACGCTCACAATTTAGCAAAATACAAAATGCCATCCCACCAAATGCCCTGCGTACCACGGACCATGCTCTTCGCTGATTTGTGTACCACTGTGTATACGTGTAAGGGTTGGTTGCCCACGACATCTGCGGGTTCCGCATGCTTCACCGCTGCCGCCAACAAAAGCTCACCGAATGCCATCGTTGCTGCACAGCGCACATGAGAGGATTCATGCCGCTCACGGTCTTGCTTCGTAGATCGCCCCCCCTTTCCAAAAGCAGCTAAGAACAAAGGGCAATCGCACCGGACATGAGCGAGACAAAGTTGCATGACGGGGAGGGGGACAAGCGGTAGGCTGTTGGAAGTTGTCTCTGTGACGGACCCTTGCGCATACAAACAACACTCACCCTCGCCTTGCACGACCTTTCCGTCAGGGTTGTGCAAAAAGCCCATCCATCTATTTTTTATAAGCCCAAACAGCCTCAAGCACGTATGTGCGCGGCAAACGACGCCCCCCGCACCGATTTGACCGGACACAAAACACCAGAGCCCTACCTATCCCTGCCACTACGTCCCAAGCTTCGAGCAGAGTGTGTGTCCATCTTGGAGGGGTATGGGGGGACTCATGAAAACGCATGCCGTAGTCGTTGGACCATTGACCTCGCATCCCCACAATGCCGGGACGGAGCGATACGCCGGGTTTTCGCCGGCCCACGCGACGCTTAACAAAGATGAGCCAGGAAAGCTGGTCATCAATCATCCTTGCGTTTTCTTTGGGGGAGTTATTCTCGCGGCGTTTGCCCGGCCATGGTGAACACAGCATCACCCGCACCTGAGTAGCGTCAAGGTGACCGCTGATGGCCGCCCAGTGCAATGGCGTTCGAAGGCATCTGTCCGCGGTGTTTACGGGAGCTCCTGCTTGTAGGAGGTAAATGATGATACCCACATGATTCGCGCCGGCGGCCCTGCGCATGAAAACCGCAGAAGCATCGGCATGCCAACAGAAATTGCCAGGGGTGGGCGAGAGAGATTCGCAAAAGTGAGGTCAACTACTTCGAAGTATTAGCTAACATCCACCAACATGGGCCAAGTCGTCGAGGGAGTGGAGGTGACCTGAAGGTACCAGAGTAAGGAGCCAGAGAGAGACACACGTGATACGTTTCATGTTTTTGAGAAAATATGCACACCATCACAGAAAGACTACCCGCTCGAGATAACACCACAGCAGTCGGAGGATATGTGTTACAGTCGACAGCTGTGAGAGTGTGAGAAAAACCGGTTGACTTGTGCCACGACGACAACGACAAGAGTGTCGTTTACTTTCCCGGCAAACATGAGGGGGGTACAGTAGCATGTTATATTCGGCACCACTCCGCGCTTCATTCATGAATCGATGGACCATGAACTACCACAAACAATGCCAATAGATGGTCTCCACACGGTCGAAAGCTCTCAAATACCTGTGTAGGGCAGTTCGGTCCTGCGCGCCTTTCTGGTTGACGTTGACCTCTCCGGTTTCCACAAGTTGCCGTACGCTCTGGATATCCCCTATCATACAAACCCGTTAACCAGCACGACGCAAATACCGAGGTCGGGGGCGAAAACAGCGGCGGCAGCAGCCCGATCGGCGACAGGAGCATGAGCACAAGTAGAGAAGGAGGGACGACACCAGGGGGGGGGGGGGGGGGGGGGGGGGGGGGAAGCCGGCCCCAAAAAAAAATTGCTTCCGGGCCCCAGGGGGGGGGCAGGGGGTTTAACCCCCAAAAAAGCGGGGGAAAAAACCCAGGGAAAAAAAATTTTTTTTTCAAAAAACCGATGGCCTACCCCTTTCCCTTTAATGAACTTTGACTTGTATTTGGGAGGGGGAATTGAGGAAACCCCCCCAAGGGGAAAAAAATTTCCCTTTTTCCTTCCCCTTTCTAAAACCCCCTTTGGGGGCTACAAAAAAACCAAATTTGTCCCAGGGCCCCTAAAAAAGTTTAAATGTCTATT